CTCTACCGTAACAGCCTTTCCATCTCATAGTAGTAGGCAACATAATTTATGTTCGATTAATGTTTGCCTTAGGTTTGACATTTTTTTGTTTTTACAGTAGTCTTAGAGTTGCAAATGCATTGTTTAACCTTCAGTTTGAGTGATGTTTTTCCTAACCCAAGTCAGTGCTGTATGGCAAGTGGCATTAAAATAAGCATTGGGAAGGTGTTACAGCAGAAAATTAATTTAGTGGACTCTTCTTTAATCTTGGATTTAGAATGAGACTCAGCTACTTTCAACAGTGAAAAAAAAAAGGAGAGTTTTAATTAAACATATGTATGTGAGTGAAATAATTTTTAGTAGTGTGGATCTAAAACAAATATGCCCAAGCAGTTGTGAATGAAGGGGAAAGGATTTTCTTTCTTGATTCTGATAATGGGAGCTTATATAAACCTATGCTGTACTGTAAATGGTTACAGTTTAATGACTTGCAGTAAGACTGACTATAGTGAATTAGAAAAGTCATAAAAAGATAAGTGGATTTTTTTGTTTTGGTTTCTGCTATGAGTCCATTCAAAAAACTGTTTTCTTACTTAATATATCAACTGTATATATCTTGCTTCACTTACTGGTAAGATTTTCTGTGTATAATCTGTATGAACTACACCAAAGAATAATGGCATTTTTATTTCTGTCTGTCTTGGAACTTCTTCATTTCCAGCATTCATTTTGGACAATTAGTATAATAAGAAAATGCCTTGGCTGTAAATGTAATGCCTGTCTGTTGTATCTAGGGGGTCTCAAAAAGTGACTTAGAAGAAGAAACTTAGAAGAAACTTCAGAAATAATACAGCATATTGCTGAAAAACCTTGTCTTGGTATCATCGCTTACTTTAGATAATATTTCCTGTCAGTAACTGGTAGTAGGCCGGTAACATAAGCTGAAATATTAAAAAAAATTTCCTTCCGTACTTTGTACATTATTCATTGCCATGTCATTCTGCCAGACACAACTGGAAACAAACAAACCTGACTGTCAAACAGGAGTAATACTAATGAGTCTGGTTATTATCTAAGTCCAGAGTGGTTGAAAGTAAAAATTCAAAAGTACATAGAAATAGATGTTGCTGTATTAATAGGAAGATGAGATTTTATATTTTAAATTCTCTTTTCATGCCATACACTGAAATGACCTTGCTCTCCGTTTACGTTATATTCTAATATAAAAGCTTTTTCTCAAGTGTAATTTATTTTTTTTTAGATTACAACCTATTAACTGCTTGCAAGGATAAACTTTCTGGTGTGTCCTGAATTTCTTAAACTAAAAGTGTAGCATCTATAGTGTATGCAAAAATGTAAAAGCAATGGTGCTCTTTTTTTCTTTTTCTTGTTGGACTGTTGTAAAATGGAATGCATGAATTTTGGGCAAAGAAAATTAGGAGGAAGAAAGGCGGAGCCCTCCTATTTTCCCCAGCCAAGAAGTATATTATTTTAATATTATCATGGCATTTGCAGGTGAAAACAGCTGAGCCTGATGAATGAAACATGAGTTGAAACCAGGGAACTTTTTTCACAGTTAGAAGTGCATATGCAAGAATATGTGCATATCTATGATCTGTTTCTATGAGAAAGAAGGCATTTAGGAGTGAGAGGTTTGGATAAGGATGTAAGGTAGAAATTCAGAGCTATAACTTGTGGGTCAGACGCATTTTGAGATTTAATTGTTTTTAAAGCTTTGCAAGGATTAAAAATGCTTTGTAAGCATTAAGTATAATACTTTCGTCTCTTGTACTGAAACACATAGTGTACAGAATAGGATATTTTAATGGTATCATATTGCAGTTTTGTAGTTGCTTAGTTAATAACTTTCTCATTCCTTGATAATATTGGAAGTTCTGTGGGAGTGTTCACATACGTAAAATCTACCCTTCAACTTCTAATAATACCTTTACTGGATTTTCTAGCCATTACTTACATATGTCATGGGAGATATTATCTATAGACTGGTGTAGACATCCTCCATGAGATACACAGACCACACAGCTTTGCAAGTGACAGCCTTGTTAGGCAGTATCTAGGAAATTAAATACAATAAATAAATAAATGAATAGTCTGGATTTATGTTAGGATAGGCTAATGTATCTGCCATCAGTGATATTTCTAATAGAAGAGGAGTGTAATCTTCAAATTTTCTGAGCAAAATATAAAACTGCCTGTGCTACACAAGAGACCTCACTCTTAGTGGAAGAATTTTATGATCAGTTTGCTGAGATTCTTAATAACCTAATTTCACAAGGGTCTCAACCTACTTCTTATTCAGTGCTTTCTTTACCCACATCTTGCTTGCTTCTAATGGATTCAGAAAGGGGAACAATGGTGGTTTTACTTACAGCATAAGGGGTTTGAGTCACAGCATAGTTCTTAGTCATTTAAGTTTATAAGAATACAAGATTTTTCCAATATGCAAGTAAGTTCTGCTAATCATTTAGAAAAAAAGGGAAAGACAAAGCATGTGGAGCCACAGAAATCTGTCAGAGGAGGATTTTGTAGCCTCAGTACTTTCTGAGAAACTGAAAGAGGAGAACCCTTATCTACTTACAGGAATATGTGATGAACATTCAAGTTAAATTTTAATTAATTTTCATTTGCTAACTCCATGGTCAGAAAACTGATTTTGAATTCCAAGCAATGATAAAAAAATTGAAAATCTACCCATTATGAGACCCTGTAAAAGCCTTCTAAAAGTTAGTCAGAAGGGATTTATGTAAAACTAGTAATGTACCTTAATTAGGAGTACACATAAAATTATTCTTCCTAGGTCGGAGATGAAATTTCATTAACATTTGGAGAGATGGGGTATTTTTTCTATTTCTGTAGAGTAGAAAATCAATTAATTACAGTTAAATGGAAGGTTGTGATGTTGCTAGATACCCAGTAAAAGGGAAGAACTGGGCATTCTTACATCTGTGCCATATTTCACCTACTAAACATAGCTTTCAGGATTTTAGCTAATTCTTGCTGTCTTCAATGGACAGTCTCTGTCTGCCTTTGTCTCTCTTTCTGCCTTTTTTCATCCATTTCTGTGAGTAAATAGAACCAACATTAACAGCAGTAGACCAGTTTTCTTGATTAGCTTTTAGAAAATTATCTCATCATGGGCCCCAAAGAAGGGGGCACCCTGAGATACTAGTGGAAGAACTCCATGGTATATTTGGGTTATTTTGCAAACTGTATATGGGTGAGTACCAACAGAGTACAAGAATAGTCGTGTCAAATGATGGCTGGCCTTGCTGGTCGCAAGTATGGTCAAGATGATGGACAGGTTTGCCAAGAGCCTAGATGTGATTTCCTTGAAGTTCTGCCTGGAGCGAGCATTAAAACTATGATTTTGAATAAAATACTCTCTGTTCACCCACTCTTTTGTGTGCATTTTCATCCAGATGGGGAGAATTCTGGCTGGTTCTGACTGCAACCTGCATGATACCCTAATGGTTCTCGCGCGGAGGTGTTCAGGTTGTCTGAGCTATGCTGGCAGTGCACGGCCTGGCTCTGTATGAAAACTGTTGTAAGACAAGGTTATGCACATCCATTTATATTCTGAGTTTGGCCCTGAAGTTATTTGGTGAATTTAACAGTGTCTGAAATAGGAGAAGTATTCTAGTCTATTATTACTATTACTGTTTAGTCTTTCCATTTTAATTAAGTAATTCTGGTAAAGTGGCATGTTCTACTTAGAGCCAAACAGACAGTCCAGGACAGCACATTGTTTAATTAGCGTTGGATGCATTTTGAAAAAGTACTCAACCCTGGAGGAAGGGTCTTGGAAAAAAGATAGGATTGTGTCGTCACAATGGAAAAATTCTCACAAGGAAATGAGTCATTAACCTATCCTAGTGTTTTGCACAATCATTGTCATTGTGGTTGAGCCAGGATTGTCCGTACCTGTGAGTTGGTACGAATATTTGAGTTTCAGGTAATGACTGGACGCTGAATCTGTTCTAACTCAAACAGAGCAGAAGTATGAATTTGCATGCTTTAAATAGGTAAGAGTGATTAAAATAGCACTTTGGTGATGGGGTTAAAAAAATCCCTAGAGGTAAAAAGTTAATTTGTTCAGCTGGTATGAATGATTGCTTCCAAGTTTTATTGTATGGCAAGCAGTATTTGAGATTTGGCCATGTTGGTACATGATCAGCGTAGCTGGGCCACCTTTCCAGCTTGCACCAGCAAGTTAATGATAATTGATGTAACAATTAGTAGTAGGTGCTCTGTTAGTTATTTCTGTAGACCTCCATAACTCTGCATTATTTACTGCAAAGCTTTTACTTTTTATACACAGTATTTTGGTTAATAGTGTGCTAAACTCTTAAAATGTTGGTGTTCTTCTGCAGTTTACTGGTGTTCACATGCTCTCATGGGATGTTGATAAAATTTTTCAGGCGTCAAAAATAATCCCTAACTAGTCTATATAAGACTGATTGCTTAGAGTTTCTCTTAAAAATGAAGTCCCTGCATGTCCTGAGTGGAACTGCAGTTAGCATAAAAATCCTTTCCATCAAGTCTGTCCTACATACTGCCATATATGTGTTTGTAAACAGCAAAGTAAGAGTTAAGTACATCTAGATATCTGGTGCAGATGACAATAAGAACTTTCAGAGGTCTATATAGATAAATATCTAAACGCGTAAAAACCCACTCTCTGGTGATCATAATTTCATACTTTTTGTGTTTTATTTAGGACTGTTTGTAAATTAGTAGTTTTGCCAGAAACTTAAAGAAGTTGGGTGGTTTTTTTGTTTGTACGCTGTGGGATTTTTTAAATAACTGTGGTACTCTGCCAGAAGTGCTAGTACTGTCCTTGGAGAGAGTAGAAGCCTTTTTCTAATTTTTTTTCCATTTCTCAGTCCATTCATTGCTGGTTGTGTGGTTGCTGTATTCACAGTTGTGTTTTGTGGGAAACGGGGAATGATTTTTAACATTGTTTTTTTTTCTCATTTTTCTTTTTATAACTCTGTTTTCAGAATTCCCCACTCTACCAGTATCTGCAGGATTTGGGACACACGGATTTTGAAGTATGCTCATCAGCGTCGCAGAAGGCGGAGCAATGTGCAGCAGCGGAAAAAGAAAAAGAGCGGACTGTGCGTGCTGCCCAGAAAGTGAGCGCTCTCCTGTTCCTGAGTATTTATCTTCTCAAAAGAGAACTACGTTGCTTCACAAATAGGCAAAATCAGTATAAAGATAAATCTCTTACTGTATTTAGAAAAAACAAAGGGGAAAAAAACGAGCAATAAACCACAGCTAGTTGTCATATCTTGTCTACAAATGTGTTTGGAAATTAATGGTATAGTTTGGAGTGTTTCTTTGCACTTATGTAAACTAGGGAAGCAAGAGACTTTGATAAATAATTTTTTGATCGTTGTAAATTATCTTATTTAGTGGATATTTTTATGTTAGTTTAGCATGACATTCTGGGAATAGAACCTGTAATTTTCTGGAACAGAGTATTTATAGTTCCCAGCCCTTCTCAGGCATTCGGTTGCTAAGTATAGCTTTGTCTGTGACAAAGCACATTAAGAAAGAGGATTTCTGGGAAGTATAAATGCAATAACCAATCTGAATGAGATAGTAGAATTGTGCTTAGGGTGTGGTAATTTTCTAACAGTAACAGCTGACAAGAATCATCAACTAATTAGCTCAGAATTCTTCATTCTCTATCCTTTTAAGTAAAGGCTTGGGGACTTTTTTAAACATTTTTGTATTAAAACTGTGATTGAGAATTTGACCATTTAACACCTACTATGGCCTACACATTTTTTGTTTTCCTTATTAAAAATAAATTCTTTTTTACTGTTACTGGTAGTTTGCAGGCAATGTGATTCAGATGAGGAGCTCTGGAGTGGGCAAGAAAATTCTTCTTTTAAGACAGCTGATGTTTCCTTTGCAGCAAATCTATTGAAAAATCAGTAGTCAGTTGGTCTTCTCCTTTAGCACTTAGATGGAGCCTGGGAAGAGCAGTAATTTTCTGCCTACCTCTTTCACATTCACAGTGGAGAGTTCAAATTACAGTGGATGTACTCCAACTATGTGCTAAGCCAGGAGGAAAAAGGTGCCATGTGGACTTCTCTGTCCTGGTCACTGCAGGCTGAGTTGGGCAGTGCCTCAGGTAGGAACCCAAACCAAGCATCCATGCCTTGATGCGTTTCCTCTGAAGAGTTGTCGTTTCTTTCTCCTCTCTCACCACTATCTGTGGTAGTTTCCATCTTGCCTGCTGTGGCTTTTAACCTACTGCAGCTCAGTTTTCCTGTTGTTCATTTCTGCTTTATTTCTCATCTGCCATCTTCAAATCAGAGGTCCACAACCCCTTTCCTCTTGTTTGTAAGCTCTGCTGCTTTCCTGCTGCAGAATGTTCCACTCTTCCAATTAGCTGGCAGTAAACATACTATTTTTCCCAAACACAGGCAATATGATATGGCACTGAGATGTCCAGAAGTTCTCCCTGCAGGTTTTGGTGGATGGGGACTCATATGACAAATGAGGAGAACTGATGCTTTTGTTGGAGTCTTTTCTAAAAATAATGTCGTCTTAATGTATATCCTCTACTCAGTTCTCAGATACTTCAAAGAATTAGCCAAGTTAGTCACAGTTAGGCTCTATTTCAACAATTCTTTTTCAGTTTTGTGTGTGTCACTCTAGTTCCGCATTTGTTTTAGGTCAGAAGCATTATTTTCTTGTGGGATTTTTAATCTGTTTTGCTCTCTGTGGGATCCTAGGTGGGATAAGATTCAGAAGTGTACAAATTTATGTGGATAACATAAATCTTTTTTTTTCTGATATGAGGAAGAAGGTATGTTTTTTGAAGTGTTTGCAAGAGTATAATGTATTTGAAATGACTGACTTGTGCAGTCTTTGAAGTGGAAATTTGGGAGCTGCAGTGTGAAGCTTATTCATCTAGCGGTATTCAGAGAAGTGTTCATGGCTCATATTTTCATATAGTGGTACTCATTTCAGCCACTCTGTACAGACTGTATAAACTTCCTTACACACTCATTAGTCCATTTGAAAAGACAGGGTAATAAAACATGAAACATTTTGCTTTGGTCCTCAGTGCTGTTGGAGTCTCCTCATAGATAGATTGGTCATAGTTTCTGTTGCCTGTTGGGCAGCTGCGCTGCACACTGTGCTTCGTGTCCTCGATCCCAAGTTTCTGAGACTTGTAGTCCTTCCTATGGAAGTGTGCCATGTCTCCCTTCTCTCATGCCCCACTTTCTGATCAGGGATGACCATTAGATAAGATGCAGGGTGCGTATCCATTGAGCAGACCAGTAAGTACCACTGCATGCCTAGCACATGGATTAGGCAGCCTGTAAAGAATAACCACCCTACAATAAGAATCATTAAGTTTAGTACTGTTCAGCAGTGTTCTGGAGTTTACAGCTTTTCAAAGAGTTCAGCAATCATGGAGAAAAAAATTATGAAGGAGCTTCATTCAGAACTTCAGTTTCATGTACTAAGGATTTGTGAGATTAACTGAGGGGAGGAGGAAAAGTGGGGATTCTTGCTGCATCTCCATGTTTCCTTGGCTGGTTTTTCTAATGTAAGATTATTTTAAATTTAATGAATAAATTGATTTCTAGTTACTCTTGATGTGGACAGGTATTGCATTTGTAATAATGATTTCTTCTATCAGTGGTCACAGGGCAAGGCTGAATTTAACTCAAGCTTTAGCTCACAATTTTGTTTATTTTGAACTACCTTTGAAAATATTCATGGAAGTATTAGGTCTACTGCCCTTGCTTTTCAGAATTGTCAGCCAGCACTCACCATAACCCTCAAGAAACCACCTAAAAATATATTTTCCCTTTATAGCTATTGGCAGTTCTGTGGTGTATTTATGTTGAAGATACCTATTCTGACTTAGGTCAGGAAGACTTTAATTAAATGTTTGATTATTTATTTATTTATTTAAACGTTAAAATTTGTTCACTGTTAATTGAAAGTTAGGATGACATATTTCATTGGCTCATATTCTGTTCATTACTATGAAGTAATGCATGGACTGTCACTTAGCTGCATTACCTTATTTTGCATAGTTACTTACATGGAATTCAGAAAAGCAGTATAACACTGTGTTCATGTATATAGTTTCCACCAAGTTTAATACAAAAGTGCCATGGGATTAAGAATCTCAAAAGTGTTAAGATATACAGCTTTAAAAAGCCTCAAGTATTCTATTTCCCCCCCCCCCTACCCCTCAAGCATTTTACACTTAATTTTATTGTGTTGGGAGCAAGTCCTCCAGTATTGTGTCAGATGTAGAAGTAATTCATCATGGTTTGCCTTGCAACTTGAAGGAAGTGAGTGTGTGAAAATGGGCTGTCCATTTCTTACAAATGCTAGGATGACGTTCACATTGTCTCATCACTGTCTAGACAAGGATACTTAGTGGAAATAAGGAAGAAACCTGTGTGTAATTTCTAGTGATAAAATGCCATAGGTTCTTCCTGCTGCTGTTCCAGTACCAGTTTGGGAGCGTTAACACTTTTCTTTTGTAATCTGATGTCAGAAAGTCTGTTTTTGTCATTTGGTTCCTGTGTCCCATTTTGGTAGAGTGTCTCAAAAGGAAAGAGAATGAGGGAGAGGCAGCTGACCATGCATTTAAAAAAGTAGACTACATTTAGGAGGATCTGAGGCTTTGTTGAAACTTTTGTATGACATACAGGCAAATAATTTGCCTGTCCAGTCATTTCCTCAGTTGTACACAAGACTGTTATCATTTCCCTTCTCTCGGCCCTTGCTGGCCTAGTCTACTGAAGTTATAAAATGTCTAGAAAATAAATGTCTTTTGACTTCTGCATATGTACCTACCCACAGTCCTAATATAAAATTATATTCCTTGAGGCTTAATGTAACTATGATCACAGTGGGTAGATGGTGTTGCATACTGATTCCTATTATATGGGTATCGTTTTCCTTCGGTTCTGAAAAGCAGGTTTCCAAATGCCTTAAACACTTCATTGAAATAAAAATGTAAAAGACAGAGTATTGCTTTGTCTTTAAGGTTGTTTCCTCCTCTTGTATTCAGTCAAGTAGGAACCCTATACAGCTGCAATCTGGTGACATGTAGCAAGAATTTGGCATGACAAAGATCTAGTTCGGGGTCTTCGGGGAGTGAAAAAACCAAATCTGGGAAAAAAAGGAGGTTCCTAGTGACTGATACAAATGTTTCTGCTGTGTCTTGCTGTCCTGCCAAACAGAGCATGTGGTTCAGGCTTAAGAAAGACAAGCATCAGTTGAATTTGAAGCACATCTTAAATAGTTCTCAAGGTGTGGTTTTGGTGGTGTTTTGTTTTTTTTTTAATCAGAATATGGTCTTAATGAACATTGAGCTGAAAAGCTGTAAAAGTATTTCAAGGCTCTGTTCTGGAGACTGGTGAAATGCCAGGCTCCCATCTGATGGAGTATAGAGATGTGATTAAGCACAGTAATTATAGGTGCAGTGTTTCTGGCTGTACTAATCTCTGGAGAAAGTTACAGCTAAAATTCTGGTCTCTAGACCTGTTTTCTGGAATGAAATCCTATTTGGGTAATTCTGCTTGATCTTTAAGGAATGTATCTTTTCCTGTTTACACCTTTCCTTTCTCAGTCATTTTCCTAGACTGCTGTGCATATCTGCATGTTTAAATTAATTGTACTGTCACACTTTATCCCATCTTAGATATGATAACATTTCATCATTAGAACAGAGCTGGTGCTGGAGACAGAGGATTGTGTTGGGGCTCAGTGCACAGCCCTCAGTGGTTGTGCAGGTGACCTGATGTGGGATGGCAGAGGGATCCATCCTTTGCCTAAGTGTAGGACTCCCACCCCCTTAAATGCTAGTTCTGGGTAGCTGCAAAGTATTTAATATGTAGCATTATCTTCTTCTGTAATGCACAGAATTTCTCTACGAAAGAGAAGTAGTCCTTAGAATTTTTTTTAGATTCAAATGAATGCACCTAAAATGTGCATGTCCTGTGCTATTATTTTTTTTTTTAAATGTTAGGAGTTATACATCTTTGTTATTTAGTTTACAGAGGGTTTGACTGAGTGGTGTTTTAAAGTTGTAAGAAGAATGTTCCAGAAGCATTGGCTACATGACCTGACTTGTGTGTTGGAGAAAGTTGTTTTACTTGTCAGTAACACTCCCAATGGGAATGCAAACTGTGAGACACTATTCCTGAATAATTTAGTGTGTTGCTGTACTCTACCGGGTCACAGCCCAAGACAGTGGGTTGTCTTGGTTTATGTTTTCAAGCTCTGACATGCCTGTTGAGGGTTTATGCAAACTGGGATTTTTATTTTTAAACTAAAACATGGAGAATAAACTGGAAGATTACTTACATAGCACACTAGTTTTTTTTTTCAGTAACTCCACAGTTTAGTTTAGTAAGCTGGTAGCAGTTTAAAACTATTCTTGGTGTAGCTTTAAATGTTCATGATAAAAATCAGAAGACTTAAGAAAAGCTAAGCAGTTGAAAATGGTAGGCTTCAAGAGGCATAATCTTAAATTAAATGGACAGTTCATTCTGTGCCCTGCTTTCAACGTACAAGGAAAAGGAATTCTGAATGGAGTATCTGTTTGAAATTCAAATGCAGAGCAAGACCTTTGTTTATGTAATTTCAATTTTCTACAAATTCTAATCAGAAAATTTTGTTTTCTTTTGCACCACTGTACAAGATCGTTGGAGGATAATCTGGTGTTGCAGTTTGTGCCATTCTTCCAATTTATGTCATTACTCTTGAGCAACATCAAAATACAATCATTTGGATTTATTCCATATTCTTTAAGTGTGAATTGGTGGAATAGCTCCCCCTAATAAGCCACAGCGGTGTCAGTGTATTGGGGAGAGCTATCATTATGAAATTCATGCTATTGTTTTACCTCTCCACTGACCTAAAAACACTTCCTTTTGGCATAGGTCTGCAATTCTAACTATACACAGAAAGGTGAGACCATATGTAAGAAACACTTGGGTTAGATTACCTAAGTGGGCACCAAATTAAGTTATTTCAAAAACTGTTGAAGCTTAAGGGCTTTAAGGTGACAATTTCTGATGTTGAAGCTGCTCTGGCTTGCTGTGCCAGACTTGTCACACTGCCTTTCAGAGGGCTGTCAGGCTGGTCATAGGGCTTACTGCAAAGCTCCAAGCTCCTGTTGCTTGGGTTTCCCACCTTATAGTTGTGGGGAAACCAAGAAAAAAAACCAGAAGAGGGGAATAAAAAAAGAAAAAAAAACAAACCCAAACCCAAAAAACCAAGAGGGAGAAACAGAAGCTGTCACCTTTTATACATTTAGCGATTAGAATCTGTATGGAGTTTTGGTTTTTTTATTTTGAAGAAGTATGCCACAAAATGTAAGCACTTCACAATCAATTTCTTTTGGCATGCATTTTGTTTGATTGTATTACATGTCAGCAGTCTGAAGATTAAGAGGTAGGGCCTAAGAATTCATGAAATATATGTAAGTAAATATTTTGAAAAATACTTCCTGTCAGCTCAGTCTGAGGAAAGTAGATATACAGTGTGTGTCAAAAGCTGCTTCTTTTTTTCATTGGATGGCTGCAGACTGAAGCAAAATTGTGCATCTATTCAATTATAATCTGTCATGCATCATGTTTTAGGAAGATACATGAGTAAAATGTGTGATGACTGAGAGGGAGTCCCTCTAATTAAAGGCGTTTGAAGTTATGTTTACAGCTCAGACAAAAGTATGGATTTAGGTTGCAGGGGAAGCAGTATGGAGACAAAGGACCTGATAGCACACACTGGTTTGGACAGTTCCTCTTCTTACCCTCACCATTCCCTGTCTCTGTTCACAACTCCTCTGGAGCCTTGTTCTCAAGCTGCAGTGGGCTGTCCTCTCCCAGTCTTTTACTTTTTTTTCAGCCCCTGTCAGCCATTTAATGTGTTGGCTTTTTATCCTCCAGGAGAGAGAAAGTCTTTCATATCAATGCAGTAGCTGCCAACTCGAGATCAAACTAATTCTAGCTGTAGTTATTTTTAACAGAACAACATAACAATCTATTATGCTCCAAATAGGTGGGGTTACTGAAAGCTTTATTTTATTCTCTTGTGTACAAGCAAACTGACAGGAAGCAGATGTTCTCTTAGTGTACTGTGAAGTTAGGCCAGACACAGTAAGTGAAACTTCCTTACAGGTACTTGTGTTTGAGCTAACAAGAAAATCAAATGCAGAAGTAAAAGCATTGTATGTTGTTATTTATTTCTTTTTGGCTTTGGAGGTTTTTTTGGTTTTTTGGTTTTTTTAAATTGGAATAATTTCTGTTCCCTTCAGCAAGGCATCCTGTCAAAACTAGCTGAATTCTTTAGAAGCTGGTTTCCTTTTCCACAGTATAAGAAAAACGATGACATACTTCACCGACTGGTAAGTGATCACTTCACTTTTTTTATTTTTCCATTTCCTTTCCTAATCCACAGGTCTTCCTGCTCCTCTAAGCAACATCTTTGGTCTGTATTGTTGGTTTTGGCTCTTAAGAGTTTTACTTATTCTTCAGATAGTACTGACTCTGGTTTTCAGAGTTACTGTGCCAAATTGGGCACAAAAGGACAGGAACAGTATCAGGAGCCAGGGTGAAGATGTTCAAAATGTGGAAGAGAAGATAAAATATGTTAGAAATTAAAGCAGTTCTCGAAAGCTGAAAGGAGTTAACCTGCAGTGTAGGTATCCCCATTGGTGGAAGGCAGTGGGGAGATACTAACTGAGAAAGTCCTTATGCTGCAGCCTAGTGCCTTGCAGAGACTGCCTAAGACAGAAGGCTCTAGGGCTTCACCTGAGTATTGCTTCACCCTCTGTTTCAGCTTGTTGGCTCAGGCATAGCACCACTGCAGTGCAGCTGTACTAGCCCTGGACCCATCCTGGCCTCTTTGTTTCTGCGTTGCTGTCCACAGGGCTTTTGCATTTGGGGGAAGCAAAGGAAACTAGGGCACCTCCATTCTAATGCTTCAGAACAGTGCTGCCATTGAGCACAGACATCCGTGCAGCGCTCTGGCTGCAGGGAGTGGCCAGATCGGTTCTCTGTGCTACCCATGTGCTCTCATTTCAGCAGTTCAGAAGCAGGTTGCGTGCCCCAACAGAGGTTGTATTCTCCTCCTCCTGGAGCCTGCAGGATCATTTAGGGTTAGAGACCTGAAGGGGGATAGTTCTACCCCAGTTTGTTAAAAGTAATTTTATGCTGCCTTTATACCTGTTCTCTGCAGCACCACTTTCTAGCCAGTTCAGTCTCTAGTCTGGGCTTGTCTCAGATCTGCTTTAACTTGTACCCAGCTGCTTCAGGCTTGCAAATGTCACCTTAGTCAGACTGTTCCAGAATCTAGAATTTTGATTTTTTTTTTCCTACTATGATGTAGGGTTGACATCTTAAAATATAGCTTCAAAAGAAAATTCTGAGTAACATGAGAAGTTAGGCTTTTCCATTTCTCAGAGAGTTCTGCCGAACCCAATTGCTATCTCTTCTCCTTTATCTCAGGAGAACAAAATTTCCTCTAAAATCTCTCTTTAGTGATCTTTGATTGACTTTTTTCATCCTCCCTCTTCCCCTATGAATCAAAGGTATTATCTTAACAGCAATTTTCAGCCTTACTTTCTTGAGATGGAGGCATAACTGAAAAACATGGAGAACCTGTTTGTCCTGCTGCATACTACAAAGTAGGGTACTGAAATGACACAGGATGCATTGGAGGAGGGCAGAGTTTTCTCTTGCACACAGTCCTGAAAAAAACATTTTCCATTAAAAGTAGAATGCAGATTATCTGAGGTGATATCAGTGTATGAAATTAAACTTTTAAACCAGCTATCCTGTGGTTTCATAAAGAATCTCATTCTGTCAATGACAGAACTAAACAGATTTTGTACTGTGAAATGTCACACTTGTGTTAAAAGCTTCTGTTAGAGGATTTTCAGAAATATTCTCCTTTCTCTCCTGTAATTAGCTAGGTGCAAAGATGTACGTGTTGAGTGTTTGTTGGGTTTTGTTATGACATTCTTAAATTAAAATGTTTTGTATTGTGGTTTGGTGCACTATGCTATGGGCTTCTCTGATGGACATATTTGTCTTCAAGAACTGCATATTTGACTTGAAGACCTATAGTAGGGGAAAAAGTAACAAATTATTATCATGGCATCAAATTCACAAGTAAGTAGCTCCCTAAAGTTTGCCTGGAGTTTGTCAAGTGGGGGGTCTTCAGAGCCCCATGCTGTTTCTTGTTTGGATTGAGTTTCCTTGGGAAAGGTACAAAATCCTGCAGGAGAGGACTTCGTTACCTTGGCCTGGGGCTTGAGTCCGGTGCTTTAACCCTACTGTTACTAAGTGTCCACAAGTGACTTTTTGTTGACTGATTTGCAATCTCTCTCTTTTTTTCTCTATTTTTTGTTTGTTAATGACATAAATAATGTCATGACATTTTAAAAAAAAAAAGTGTTTACTGTTTCAGTAATGATCTTCTAATAGATGCAGGACCTCTCTGATTCTTATGCAAATATATTGGCATACTCTGTGGCCTGTTTCCAGTTATTGTTACTATCTAGGTCAGATCACAAAGTCAGTGTCATGCATCCTGCAAGTCTGAACTGTTAGGTTGTATGAGAGTTTTTAAAGTTAAACAAGTTTAATAAAAATGAAGTAGCTACTTGTGATATATCTGAAACATTCCTGTACTCTTTGAGAATAGGCTGTTGTCAGTAAAGTGTAGTGTCTGGGTGTTTTCCTTGTTCTGCTAACTTAATTTTAAGAATTTGCATATTCTTTACTAATGCCTGTTTTTTCTCCTGCCCGTTTGTGGTAAGGATGTTGGATTTCGAGTTGACACGCTCCGTACCATCCTGCAACAGGAAGTTCTGCTGCAGGAGGATGTGGAACTGATTGAGTTCCTTGACCCCAGTATCCTGTCTGCGGGGCAGTGTAAGCAACAGGAAAACAGACAGCTTCCAACACTGCGCTCCCTAGCAACTCCTAATATTTGGTATTGTATAGAGAATATCTACCACTATATTCACTGAGAAACAAGCAAAAAATATATTGTATGCTCTTGAAATAAAATGCAGCATTAAAGTAACTTTTTTTCGCAGGTCCTTTGGTCCGCTAGTCCCCAGATTTTTTATAAGAGTGTTTTCTGTTTCTTCAGGCATTTTATTCAAAGAGTGAATTTTAATCTGAGATAGCTACTTGAACATGAATGGATACTTCCAAACTAATATATTCTATTAGGAAGAACTAACATGGTTGATTAATTCATTAATTTCTAAAGCTATACAAAGGTGATTTTGAGAAATGAGACATGATTGTGAGGACTGAATTGAAAAGTGGGTTTTTTGCTGTGGTCTTCATAAAATATGCTGCAAGGGGGAGAGGTGAGGTGGGATGTGCAATTAATTTTCGGATGTAGAATACCAGAAGAATAAACTAAAAACTATTTAAATAGGATGCATTGAAGTCAAGAAAGTTGTGTGGAATTGACTCAAGAATACTGAGGGGGCTGACTGCAGCATTATCTGAACAACCAGCACCTGTATTTGAAAAATAACAAGGCCAGTTGTTGTTTTCACAGAGTGTCTTGCTCGGAAACGGACAAGAATCAGTAGATAAAAATCTTATAACACAGCCCAGTGCTATTTTGTCATACGTATGTTAGAAAAATAGATAAAATTATTATAGTCAACCCCAACTGTTTAAGTTATGTCATTATTGATGTTCTCTGTCAAAAGAGAACGTTTGAACTAGATTTTTCTGGTCCTAGCATTATTCGGTTTCTCTAACTGTTCAGATGATAAAGTACACTTTCAAAATAAGTGAATATTGCTCAACTTACAGATGACACCAAGTTTCTGTTTTCATAGAATAGAGGGTCAAAATTAGATTGGAGAAATACCTTGAAATCGATAGAAAAGTCAATAAAGACAAAAGTCTAATGCTGCACTTGGGAAGGAAAAGTTAAATTAATAAACACAAAGTGATGAATAATTGGATATGCAGTACTATTCCAGAAAAGAAACTCAGATTGATAGTGTTAGGATGTGTAGAAGGTGGTTAGGAACGTGGGGATCAGTGTCATTTGTTCTGTTCATAAAAGGGAAAGATGTGAGGAAAAATAATGCAATTAATCTGCCAGTGATTCAGACTGAACTTGGGGGAAATCTTTTGAACTCTACGGATACTCATGAGTTGGAATGGCTCTCTGCACGGGTTGTGAAGTCTCATCTTTGGTCTGTCCATGATGATCTGGGCTAACCAGAAACTGAAAATGGACAAAGTGAGCTCTTATATCCCTTTTAGTCTTTTAATTGTTGTGATTTATTTTTTTCATTTACCAAGGAAGTTAGAGACTGTGTGTCTGTCCCTTTTAAAGGGACTATTTTGGGCTATTTTAACCCTGGACTATTTTAACCCTGGACCTCTACTATTTTAACCCTGGACCTATCAGGAGCCAGTAGCCCTGAAGAGTTAACACTTGTAAAGCTTGTTGAAATTTGCCCACAAAGCCATCCAGAAAATAGAAACCCAGAGATCATGTCTTATTGTAGAAATGGAAAAATATTCCTTGTGAATACTTCCAAATCTAAATGCAGGATACATTTAGCTTACATACAGATTTATGGTGTAAAGGAAGTGAATATTTTTCATTGAAAAAATTCTGAAAAACTGTAGTTGAAACGCACCTTGAAGCCAAAATCCCATCCATCTCTATGAAGATTGTAATTATTTTACAAAACTGTAATATATATGAAACACAGTGTATTTTTTAGCAGTTATTTGTGTTGAATTTTTCTAGAAAAAAAATGACTGTGAAGTTTTTGAAATGTCCTTTAGAAATAACTGAAGTGAGATACTAAGAACTCTGTTCTTCAAGGATTTTCAAAAGCTGCCAAATTGTTAAAAATGACTATTCAAGCCATATTTATAAAAATGTGTTAAAAACTAGTAGTGCGTTGGTGTCCAAGTTAAATGAGTCAGACTCTAGAAAAAATACATCTGGCATTACTTGAGGGATTTGCTACCAAAAGAAACATGCCCTTCCCTGCTGTACTCTTGAACCTGGAAGTACAGATATTACGGTTCCTACATGCCCTGGCTTATAATTCTGAGTAGTCAGGTTTTTTCTTTTTCTGTTTTCTTTTCTTTTTCTTTTTCCTTTTTTTTTTTTTTTTAAGTCACATGTAAGAGAAACTGACCTTTCAAAGTGGTATATTATTCTTTTACTCATGCTATAAAAAGCTGGAGAAATGTTTCCTTAGAGTATACCAAGCATGTAATATCATGTATATATTCATCTAAGTCTGCTACTGGCGTAGTTTTTGGTGTTCACAACTCCCTTCAGGACCTACATAAAAGCCCCATAATAAGGTGTTGTAATCCTAAATGTAACTGAAAATTTGGGAATTTTTTTACCTCTTGTTTGGCCTCAGGAATCTGTGGTTGATGATACTTTCTCCGTTTGCAGGGATGTTTCGCTGTTTCTTGCCTTTGTAAGTGCACTGCTTATGCTTCCTTCGTGGTGGAAGGAATCATCGTGGCTGCTGTGGGGACTAGTTCTGCTTGTCTATGCAGTCTTTAGAGTATGGGGCACATGGAGGACAGCCAAGCTGCAAATGTCCCTGCGAAAATACTGTATCCAGCTGGAAGAAACAGTGGCAAATAGCCGAGCTTTTACTAATCTCGTGAGGAAAGCTCTACGGCTCATTCAAGAGACTGAAGTAATTTCCAGAGGATTTACCCTGTGAGTCTGAATTTCAATTTATTTAATACACAGATCCATTCAAACCCGCTGTCTTCTAAAATTGTCTTGTTACACTGTCTCCTGTAACAAGTGGAATTACTGAAAAACAGTACTTAAAGGTTTTTGTTTACATAAAGTAATATAATTGCAATTCATACTAAAAGAATGAATTCTAACAACTCAGTGTTAAAACCCTGCATCCTGAAGGTGGATTAAGTCTCACAAAACTCATATGTCTTTGCAATGAAATACACAAAGAAATGGATCTTGAACTAATTCAGTTAATGATTTTGGGAAGTCATTTAGAGAGTTGGTTGTTTGAGATTTTTTTTTTTATCTTATGTTACCAAATATATGTAAATAAACTGATCTGCAAGTAATCATTCATAGTTTAGAAAACAAGATAACATGAAAACCGTTCTATTTTTATTCAACAAATAACAGTCTGAAGTAGTGAGAACAAAGTAATCAGCAAGACCATCAAAGGTCATTTCCCACCTCAAATAAAGTTAATATTACTCTTTTTTCTTGCATACAATTGTTGAAATGTTTAGCTTCTTAAATTAGTTACTGTTGAATTTGCCTCTCTCAAGTACTTAAGAGGTGTGAAAGTGTTTCTGATTACTTAGCTCTTGTAGTGATTTGGTAAGTTTTGCTTGTTTGCTATGTGAAAGGACATCAGAACGTGTTCAGCGTATGCAATGATTCCAAAGCCAAGAGGCCTGCTTCTGTGCACTCTCCTTGGCATGGATGCTTTTCCCTTGTAACAACCTGTGGTGAGATACATACCTGTGCCAGTTAGACTTAAGGCTAAAGGAGGTGGGAAACGCCAACACCTAAAATACAGTTGACTTCTTTCTAAAAACAATAAAACATTCCCTTGCATGCACCAAGAAGTTGTTTGTTCGTGCCAGACCAACTATTCTGCATTCAGGCACATGTTCTTACATGCAAGCTTGAAACTGTAGACTTGAAATTTTGGATTAATTTTCTAGCTTGAGATGCCTTCAGTGTGCTTCATTGAAGAAACGTTTCGTTCTCCCTTCGGAATGCATAAGCATGTATTCAGTCTGCCTAGCTATGTGTTTTGTTTTGATCTGGGTTTTTTGCTGAAGAAGCATATAGTTAAGCAATAGGCAGTTCTTATCTTTGCAAACGGGTTCTTAAAAGAAATTATTGTTAGGGCTTGTCCAAATTACAGATGAGAAAAACATTTGGATTTTTGCCTAAGTTTAAGCAAACGAACTTCTGGTCAATGTCTAAATTGCTGCTGCCTTGTTCTTTTACTACATTTCTTAGATAACAGATTAACAAAAAACAGACTGGTCTTTAAGCTGATGCTTGATCTAATAGCCTCTTTACTTAAAACTTTGGCAAACTTTTCAAAAGACTTTGGAGTATGGATGGAGTGGGAGAAGTCTGACTGACATCCTCATTGGAACAATTGTACAGTATAAAGAAGTCAGTGCTGTACAATTTTTGGTTTGGTTTAGCCTGGAGGAAGTTCTAACTCCAGAGTGTCCTTTCCTACATCCACATATGCAAGAGATGCTGCTGCACAGATCAATGAGAAATTCTTTGCTTGAGGTAGCACTTTGTATATGATCCAAAAAACTAGTTATCTCTTTTTTCTTCTAGAATTTTGCAACAAAAAAACTCAGCAGAACAAAGTTTAGTATGATCTCCTGTAGTAATCTTGTCAGAATCTTAGTGCTTGTTCAGAGAGTCACGTGGCAATAGAAATGGTTGCACCTGAAACGTTAATGAGTATTGTCTTGTGTTATTTTACATCCTTAAAGAATGAGAGTTCAATCAGGTAGTGCAGCATCCTGGTCAGTGACACATAGGCAAGTGTTTTAAGGTACTGCTAGCTCAGCATACTTTGGGCTTTGCATTAATCATATTGTGAATGGAAAGATACTGAAGCTGACAGATAGTACCAAGTTCAGATTTTGACTAGCTGTTCTTAGCTAAACTGTGATAGGGCAAGCCCAGGTCTGCAGCTGAAGTTCCTTGTGCTCCACTCCTGGTTTTCTTCCCCATGGCACCATCCATTGCTATTTTTGTAGACTAAATTATATATGCTTTGAAATATCTATGGGTTTTGCTTTATTATACCCTATTTGCCCCTTATTAATTGATATTGGACTGTCTCTGTAAATGTTAGATTATTTCCTATGAGGTTTTGGTTGGTCATCACTAGTTCAGTATTTACTACTGTGTGGTAGTGACTGCTATACTCAAATATTATTCAAATATTATTCAATTTTGCCTTCATTCCCCTCCCACCCAATAAAACTCACAGCAGCCATATAGAATAGGAACTGAGAACTTGAGCAGGGAGCTTGGACTAGATAATTTCCATTGGTCCCTCCCAACCTTAACTGTTCTGGGATTCTATAATCCTGTCGGGCTTTTCTTATATTAGCTACCCTCAAAGATATTCTGATATTCTGATTCCAGAATGGCCTTCAGAAGTGTTTAGCGCTGCTGTTGGTGTTTCAGGTGTGCCTACTCGTACAAGCTCTGCGATGCAGAGATGGCCAAGATCTCACCTGGGTAATTTGGATTACAGAAACTGTGTAGCAAAGGTTAGGCAATGCTGTACTCAGGCAGAAAGGCAGTATTTCTGTCTAATTGCTTCACTTGTAATTAGACAAATGAAGCCTGATCATGGATTGCAGCCTGGAATTTCTGCAGCGTAATGAAAGTATGTTCACTGTCTTGCACATTATAAAATGAGAACTGAAGGAATACATAATGAAAGGCTGCAGCAATAAGCAGCAAGTATTTATTCCCTTGCCTGTCACTGAAATAATTAACTTCTTTTCCAAAATGCTCCCTTTCTACTATATTTTAAACTGGAATTAAACCCTATGAGCACATCTTGGTGCATATTAGCATCTTTATAGAACAGCTTTCATGTTGGAGTGCAGGAATGGGTTTCAATGTGTCTGTATAAGTTTGTTGGAAGTTGAAAGCCAATTTAAGATTTAGCTTGTGAAAATAATGGAGAAATATGTCGCTGTTCTTTACAAGTAACATGGGTCTGGAGCAGTAGGAAAGAAAATTCATCCTTAACCTTTTTTTCTTCTTGCTACTTGTGGCTGATATGCAAAGCTGATAACATTTTGTAAGTCAAATTAAAATATATAGAAGATAAGAGAGAATTTTTACAAGAGTATGTAGTGATACGACAAGGGAGAATGGCTTAATCTGAAATAGGGCAGGTTTAGATTAGATATTAGGAAGAAATTCTTACTATGAGGGTGGTGGGACACAGGAAGCTGCAGATGCCCCATCCTGGACATGTTCAAGGCTAGGCTGGATGGGGCTTTGAGCAGCTTGGTCTAGTGAAAGGTGTCCCCGCTCATGGCAGGGTGGTTGGAACTAGAGGATCTTCAAGGTCCCTTCCTTGAAGATCAAACAATTCTGTGATTCTGTGAAGATAAATGAAACATTAGGAAGTTAGGGATATGACATGTCTGACATGTAGACATTTATAACAAATTATACTAATCTAAGATTAGTGGAATAAAAAAGAATTATTTTCTGAAAAGACTGAATCAAGCCTTTCCAGAAGGAAAGCAGATTGTTTTGCTCAGTACTGGCACTACGTGCTGTGCATGAGTTGTGCTATATTTATTCTGTGTAGAAGTTGGAAATGCTTGCATCGCTATAGAAGAACATGGACCTTTGTCTCTTTTTTACAGTAGAAGAATTTTCCTCCTTTTCTTTGAGCCTGTTTCTGACAATTCCCCCTGGGCTTGAGTCTACAAACTGATGTGAGAGTTTATATATAAATACTTCCACTTTTACCTTGGAAAGCCAGAGAAACATTAGAGCTTGGCATGTACTGCATTACATGCTGTGGTCCCTAGTGAAATGTACCTCTAGGTTAGGCATTTGAAATTTACGTTTAGAAATGGAAATGAATACAGTTTTTTTATTGTAATCAGATTTTAAAGTTATGAGATGTTATATAAACCATTTGAATATCACATAATTTAATGTGGTATGCAGATATTTTATATTGTATTTCAGCTAGCATATTCAGTTTATGGCAATATTTGGCATGAATCTGCTTGTGTTAATTATGCTTAACATACTGATATGGGTCCAGCCTTGCTCACTGGGTGGTCTGCATTGCTTTTCATAGTTGACAGTGAAGGCCATAAGCTATTTCCCCTCCTGGCAATGTTCAGCATGGCCCAGCTAAGCACATGGAGTAGGACTGACATTTTTCCAGCAGGGTCAGGCCTGCTGACTTAGTTTTTTTGATCAGACAGGCTACAGAAACAGTTACCAAGGCAGCAACACACCTCAGTCTTGCCAGGTACCCTGTAAGCTTTTCCCTTTTAAGTGATTGTGGACATGAATTCACCTCCTCACCTGCCCTTGGAAAGGTGAGAGCAGAAGCAGGCTTCCAGTCCCCAAACAATTAATTCCAGTTGATCATCCTATTGTCCATCTGCACTATGTTCATTCCCAAGCTGATTCTACTAAACACAGCCCCAGCAAGCAGAGTATACCTAGGCCGTTTACAGTGTCTCAGTCATAGGTTTGGCATCAGATTGTATATGAATAGATATAGCTGGAGCTTAATGTTACTCAGACATGTGTAATGTTCACCCAGTTCACAATTCATTTTGTTTCCAAATGGGGCAATTTCTTACAGTGCTAAAGCCATTCTGAAGTATATTCTGATAGGCAAATGGCATAGTTTCTTTTAAATGGTGTATTCACCTGAACAGGTGGATGCCAAATATAATTTCAAATGTGCTTGTGTGGTTGCATATACTTCATGTGTTTACCTGTCAAAACTCCCACAAACACAGATGTCATTCATTGCATGATGATAAAATCTGTGTCACCACTCAAATATTTCTCTTGACCTAGAAAAGTTTCTGCATGGAGGAAGTTAAATGAATATAGTATTTTGCATGAGTAACTATGTAGTGGCACATTTTTTCTGCAAAAATTATTGAAAGAATAAGCTAGATGTAAAGAGATGTGTTAAATACCTGTTTATTAAAACTTCCAAAGCTGACAGTGTAATAGTTTTGTATCAGAGATAATGTTACAGCTTGTCTACCCTTAGTGTATTATCTTAGAAAATTTTAGAGAAAATAAATGTGCGTAGGAGTTTTGCCATGGCTCAGATGAGAATAGAATCAGGCTATCTACTGAGGAATCCTGGCTGCTATCTGAAATGTTGATTAAATATATCATTGATAGGATGGATTTTTTTTTTTAAATCTCATAGTTTCTGAGTGGTTTGAAAAAGTTTTCTAAATAATGGAATAAGAAAGCTTATGTACTGTCTTTTAAAAATACTTTAGGACATCTGTACAGTTGTATCACATTTTACTTTTCAAGTTTGCTTGACAGGGTCAGTGCTGCTTGCCCATTTAATAAAGCTGGACAGCATCCTAGTCAGCACCTGATTGGTCTCCGGAAGGCCGTGTATCGATCCGTCAGAGCCAACTTTCGGGCTTCAAGACTGGCCACTCTGTACATGCTGAAAAAATATCCTTTCTGTACAAACCCATGAGTGAAGATACTCCATATTACCTACCTGTGGTTGTGTCAATGTTTAGAGTCAGTATTTCTAGAAACATACAATTTCTAATTATGTATCTAGACAAAGTAAAGAAAAGGTAGCATAGTAAATCTGGGCTTATGCTTGTTTTGGAATGTTTAAAATTTTTGCCTCTGTGTGCTGTGCGGATGCGTTGATTGCACTGAGAACATTGTCCCAGTTACAGACACCCATGCCTTTGTTGTAAGTGCCAATGATGTATTTCAGAGTCCTTCGGGTTTTGTTTTATTATTCCTCTTAGCCATCTTTTTCCCTTGCACCAAAATATCCTCTTCTCTGAACAAATGGCCTTTCTCTCAACATCCCTGTGTTCAAAGGTAAGTTGATTTTCTATTTCAGACAAGCTGAGTGGAACTGATTACATTAATTTAGCCAAAAGGCACATTTAAAAGCAAGGAGTTTTTACTCCGAATCAGACCAGAACTCTTTGTTCAGATTACATTTTGTAAAGTGTCATCTGTATTTTTTCAATGAATTGATACTTTATTAAACGGCTTTAGCATTTCAAGGTTTTTTCCTATGTTTATTGTACTTATTGTACTATATAGGAAATAACAATGTATTCACCCTAAATTACAGCAAAATTTAAAACAGATATGTTCCTAATCTGAAAAAAAAAAATACAAGGAAACAAAAGCCAATGGTAATGTGAGTGTTGAAAATCTGACACAACAAAGTACTTCTTTTGTCTTCCTGGAACTTAATATTGATTAATAAATGTTGTCTGGCAAATAGATGAATATACTGAGTGTTAATGTGTACACACACGGTGGCACACACAAAGCTGCACGTATGTGCATTCGCTTTGAAGCAAATTAGTATTTCTTTGCAAAATATTAATTTCTGTAGGAATGGGCATCCTTATTCTGGCCTCAAGACTTAGCTCTGAGGGATAGGGTGTATTTGCTGTGTAAAGGAAAAAAAAATTACTGTGGTTCAGACATGTTGATGAGAGCAACTGATACTTAGCTTGGAAGTAGTCAAGAATCACTTCTAAGAACATAGGAAGAGAGATATGAAAATAGGCAGCTAACATGTCCTTCCCAAACATCCTCCAACATGGAGAAAGTCAGTCCAGCAGTGGTTATCACAGGTGTGTAATTGTTGTTGTGGCCAGAAAAGTTACAGGTTCAAGAATTATTGGTGTATATTAGACTGTCCACGAGTTTTAAAACAACTAAATTTAAGGAATGGCTTTTAAATTAAGGAATGGGAGAGAAGAAAGTTTTGTTTAGTTTGGATAATTTGACATTTATATCTGTCTTTGAAAATTTATAGCAATTTACCATGTAGATACACAGTAGTAAGGGCCAGCAGAAATAAATGGCCAAAAATGTATTGAGGTTTAGTTTATATAGATAGGTTCTTGACAAATGAAAAGAGAAGCATTATATTTGTGCAGAATATAGTGACAAAACCAGTGGTAGCATTTGAAGGATTCTTTCTCCCCACCAAGATAATTAAGGACAGCTTTAAGGTAGTTCCAAGTTACCTTTGTTTGATTCCCCCCCCCCCCCACTATCATGAATGCCTGAAAACATTACATGTATTACAGGAGTATTGATGGCAAGGAGGATCTTTCAAATGGATTCCAATGCCTTGTGCAAGTAAATGCTACTCTTATGATGGAGGGGCCAAAGATTCCTTCATGTTGAAAGCATTTACAGCTGCGACTGGAGACAACTTTAATGCTCTTTTCCATCATCAGATTGTTAGCACAGATCTGGTCTACAGCAAGGAGAAAGAGAAACTGGAGAGATTAAATAAAGAAGTGAGGCAATAAATTGAAGGAAAGGAATGCTGATAAATTAAAGGAAAGGAATTTCCATCCAAAATCTGGAAATGAGATCCCTATTCTGACTTTTACAGGTCTTTTTAGTAAGTTTGGCTTTCCACCAAATGAGAAGATATTCTCAACTTTCATTCCTCTCAGTTGTTTGGTCATGAATTAATGAATTTCTATTTGAAATTTGCTTTTTCTGAGCATTGTGAGATATATGAATCCAGCAGGACTATTAGTGATTTACACTGGCAATGACAAAACAAAATGCTTTTAATAGAAACAGGTATTTGAAAAACATTCCAAATGTATAAAATTTGGATTAATATTACAATATTGCATTTAAAACAACCCCAAAAGTATTTTCCCTAGTTAGTGTTAATTCTGTTTAAAATTTTTTTTTTTTGTTTTACTGGATATTGCTTTGTATTTTTTGTTGCAGAGCAGATGTATCTTTGTATTTAGGCAAGCGAAAAAATGCATTATTTTTGCTTGGAAAAATTTTCAATAGAAATATAATATGCAAAACAACTCCTACTCTCAAGAATTTGAATCTACCCAGCTAATACACTAATGATCCAATCTTAGTTCCATTTTAATTGAGGGTTGATCATTCTTTAGGGCGATTTTTCTCTTTAAAGAATAAGAAGTGATAATTTCGTAAGAGTGTGATCAACTGCATGGGACAACCACAGCTTTTAACCATGGAGTGTGCATTTCATGGAAACGTTTCTGTGCATGTATACACAGGAAACTTCCATACTAGAGTTTGCTTTCCTTGGCTGATGGTATTCAGTTGATACTACAATGTGGGTATAATGCTTGTCATTCAACAACAGTGGTGAGCCTTTAACTCCAGATACCCTTATTGTGTAATGTCCAGTTATTAAAATAAGGTCTTGGCCTGTGACTGGGCCTTCTGAGTGATATACAGGCCTACAAAAGAATGATAATGCGAAGTATGTTCTGTTTTCTTTTATCCTGGTGTTTCTTATAATAAACCTGGAAATCTGAAATTGAACTTTATAATGCAGCAAAGATAATTGTTGCTTTAAGACTATGGTAAACATCTCAAACAGAGACGTTTATTATTAGAGTTAAATGTAATTAATGTAATGGTTAAAGTATTGTAGAAAATAGCGTTAAAGTCACTAATGTAGTAAAAGATATACTTTGATTTAAGCTTTCATTTAAAACATTCTTATTTACTTGGAACTTACTAGAAATATCTGTGGATTAATTATTTTTCCAAGGTTACTTTCATCAGCAAACTGCAAAAAGATCAATTTACTCCTCCACTTTGAAAATATGCATTTATATGTGCTTAATAAAATCAGCCAAACAGCCTCTTAGAGGAGCTGTTTTCTCAGACAGGTTGCATGTATGTAATGGGAAGTCAAAAAGGTTTTCAGTAATAAGCAAAATCTATTTCAATGGGTTGTTTTTTTCCCTGAAAAAGTAATTTCAGTGAATAATGTTGTATAGACAATGTACGGACATTGAGCTAAATGCTACTGTAAATTTTCATACTTACATTGTTTTAAATCTAGCCTGAAACTATACAGTAAAATAGAGGAAAGTTCAATCTTAAAAACATTTATAAATTTGTATCTCATTTTGTCAACAAATGGAAACTGCAGAGCTTGTAGCTTTACTTTACACTGCCTTGAGAGATTTTTTTGTTAGTAATCTTAAGTAGGTTGCCAAACATATGCTTCATTGTATTTGATTATTTCTGAGATAACTATCAAATGCATACTTTGACTCAGTAAGACTAACCCTACTGGAAGCCAAAGGGAAACTGCTTTGAACTTAAGCCATTTTTCTTATGTTATAACTTCAAGAGATGCAAGGAAGAAAATATTCTTGAGGGGCTAAGCTGGTACCTGTTGGGTTTAGTCTTAAAAACTGGCAAATCTAGGTATTAATCTGAGCTGTAGAAAGAAATTAGAGACTTATTATATAATAAACTAGTAATTTATTATAAATTAATTAGTAAATAAATTAAATATTAAGGGATATATTGATCTGTGCTAATCCATTAACGGTAGCTTTTATAGCCATCAGTATTACTTCTCCTACCAAAATTATCTGCAGAAGATTTGGCTTTTGTATTGATGTATGTCTCAAATATGTTAGAAGGAGATCTGTCTGATGAACCTGTTACAGAGAATTAAAAGTTTTAGTTCACAGGTTTATTTGTGGTGATACAAATTGCATAAACTTGATGTATTATCATTACTCACTTCAATAAAACTAAAAGTTCGAAAATATTTGCTTGTGGTTAGTGTGCCCCCTTTTAGCTAGACAGCTGCCCTCAGTGAATAGAATTAATTAATTTTACCCGAATTAAAATTTTTTTCCCATGTAAAGTAGAAAAAATATACAGTTATACTTTAGCCTTATACCAGGCATTCGTGTCAAACTTGGTGGACCAGTAATTTAATGAGATGGAAAGTCATATTACTTACATTTTGTGTGAAGGGACAGTTGGGTACTAGCAGACACAATTCAGCATTTTCTCATGTCATTCTTACTCTAATTTGTTCATATTGGCAAGAGTACATTGCTCAAAATCATAGAACAAAATGTCAGAGAAAATAGAAGAGTATTTCTCTAGTAATCCAGAAGATAAGGGTATAGTAAGATGCAATGGCTGAAAGCTTAAACTAGAAATAAGGCGTTTTGGGTAAAGTATTTACAGGATGTTGCGCAGGATAGTTCAACAGCTCTCTGCACTGTGCTCCACTGAACTGTGTAATAACTCAGGTGATGCTTCGCTCGGCATTCTGCTGCTTTGTGGTTTTATACTTAATAGCCTTGTGGATTCTACGTCATGGGAATCTGATTTAATTATATACAAGACAGATGGAGGAAATTTTGTAGTTTATGTTACTGGAAGATGTTAATAGTCTCCTCCTCAGCCGATGCAGGATGGTGTGATACTCCATTTCCATTGAACTATTTTGATAGGTAGGACCTGGGTGTTGGACCATGTAAACTGAAAAAGCTTTAATTTTGCCATAGATGTAAGATGTTGTTCCCTGCTGGCAAGGCATAAATACTGTTATAAAAACAGACAGGTACGTGTTTAAACTTTCTAAAAGTTTGGTTTAGGAAGCTAATGAGGGCATGGGATCAGTTCTCTGCTTTCATCTGTCAGATAGAAATGGGAGTGGGAGGGCTGCAATAGAGGAGGGCAAGGCGGGAGATGCAGGAGGCCACTGGGAATGGAATCCCTGACTGAGACATTGGAAAGTGGCTCCTTTGGTCAAACCTCTCATTTAGATGTTGCCTGGAATTGCTTTAGCGTGACTTAGAAATTCACGTGTGTCCAAACTACTTCTTGTGGTGTTCCTGCTGTTGGAAATGTCTTGTTGCAGGAAAATATTAACAAGGAATACAATTAGTCTCTGAGATAAGTGGTCCTGAAGGGTTTTGACTTGACTTTTCAATTTCTGTTGGAGTTGCCATCCTCATCCTATGTGCTCCACCTGCTGGGCATGCTGTCAGGTTAATTTAGCTTAGGCACCATTTGTGTGAGGCAGCTGCTGGTGGCAACAGTAATATTCTATTCCTAATTAATTTGCATTGCAGGTTTTTGTCTGAACACTTAATAGGCTTCTTTGTTTCTAGACTTTGTGGAAAAAGTAGGGAGAAATGTGTTTGTTTGTTTAGATCCTGGACACTTCACTTTATTATTTCCTGGGACACAGAGTATTGTTTTTTTATGCAATGTTCTCCTACTCAAGTGGTAAACATTTTCTTGAGCAAATCACCTTTGCATGTTCAATCCTATGAGAATTTAGCACGTGGAAAATTTGGGAGTGAAAGTGGATGGAACGTGTAGCTTCCCAAGAAAACATATTAGTTGGGCAGGAAACAAGTTCTTCTAATCAGCCTTATGTGGTAGAGATGAGAGCATTCAGTTTGTAGATCAAATTATAAATGAAAACCCCCATATTTCAAATTAAGACCTTATTTTCATGCATGCTTTACCAATATATATATTTCTGTGGAGCAAATGTGGTTTTGTGCTTATGACTGACTATAAGTTGTAACAAATTTTACTATTCTGTGACTGGTTGACTGTTGAAAAATGTGCAAAAATCTTGAACTGTTCCTCCTCCCCAGCCTGAGGTTAGCCTAAAATTAGTACTATTTTAAAATAAATGCTTCCTGGTCTATGAGTTATTTTATCTGTCTTCTGGTATCTGTTATATTGTGCTTGCTTCCTGCTTTTTAAGTGTTTTTGAGGGCTAGAAATGTACACTTTCCTCCTGAGAATTTACATGTGCCAAATAATGTTAATGGATACCAGTTCACCGCTCTTCCTGCCAAGATCATAGTGGCTTTACAGCGATGTAATCAATGAAGTTGATGGTATGACAGTCAGGGAGCTCCTGTTCTTCACAATGCTGTCTGAAATGTCAAAGACCTTTTACTGTAAAGATCTCTGAGTAGTTCTTCCACAGACAGAACTCTCAGGGAGTTCGCATCATCCTGGGTTTGGTCTATAACACAGGCTACCTTTGAAACTTCAAATTGCGCAATTGTTCTCCTCTTTCCTCTTTAAAATATATGATTTCTGGTTTAAGATTGACATGTGCTATCTTTTGGAAACTTAATATTTACAGGTAAGCTGTTTCTCTCGCTTAAAAGAGATGCAGGGGCTTTTCATCAGTTTTGTTTCTTTTTATCTTTTTATATTTAAACAGGAGTTTTTCAGTGTCTCAGCTCTCATCCTTCTAAGAGCCTTTAAAGCTTGATCTCCAAATAAGGATTGCAAAACATTCAATTAAACAGGATTCGGGTGGAATGTATGTGCTTTCATACAAATTACCAGGACTAAGAAACCTTATTAGGTGTTTCTTTCCTTTTCTGTTTAATGCAAAAGTGGCTTTGTTAAGCACCTTAACCCCAGCTAAACCTACCCTCTGAACTCAGAGAGTGACAACGTGACCAGCTACATCTGTGTAGTCCCCTTTAAGGAACTGGGTCTGGGACTGAGTGAAGAGCAGGTCTCAGAAGAGGAGGCACACAACCTAACCGATGGCTTCAGCTTGCCTGCGCTCAAGGTAACCTCTCCTAGAAGGACATGTGCATCCATGCAGGCTCCTGGGGAGAATCTCTTTCTGTTGTCATGAAGTCCTGTGGCTTGTAGGTTCTAGCCTGTAGTAACACGGTGAGTTGAGAGGGAGATGTAATCAGTCTCTTATCATGTGTTTCTACATTTATTGGCATTCAGGTGATTTCGTTTTGCGTGTAATGGAAGAGAAGTTGCACAATACAACATTAGGATTTTTTTCTGCAAATCATGGAAATTCAAGTCAGTTTTCTATAATCAACCTGATCAATCTCCTTAAACATTATTTTTTGCTCTCTGATTTTGCTTGATCCCAGCCATATAAAATAATTTGCAGATTTGTACCTACTCCTTTTTAATCTAATCTCTTGACATGAATAAAAAGAGAGACATCAGAAGATACAAATTAGTTGTACTTGCCAAAGGGAATAGCAGTGTTCAGTTACACTGAGGAATAGAAATCATAAGCTTGGACCCCCACTGCTGTGAGCCAGTGTGGCTCTTTGATCTTTGAAAAACTTTTAACTGAACAGAATGACAACCATATAATGACCTTTTTATCTATTTTGTTTTGAGATGTTAGGTATTTTTTATTTCCATGAGTCAATTGGAAGGAAGATCTAATTTGAATGCAAGCCTTCTACAGTCTATTGGTCCTCTGCAAAGATAGTTCCCTTTTAACATTGTTTTTTTAATGGAAAAATCCAGTATTATGTGACTTATGTCTTTCTAAGGGGTTGGCTTTTGTTGTATTTTTTTCACTTAATTTGTAGACCTTGACTTCTTTTGTTCTGACAGTAAATGTTACCAGTAATAGTGATTACTAAACTTTGAGGCTTTGTCTAGTTAGCTGTAAGCGCTACAACAGATAGAAGCCTTGGGATTTTTTTCCTTGCCTTTTCGTTAGCTGAAGTCATACAGCTTGCAGTCATACAAGCCCGCTAATTTACCCACTTCTTTTTAAGCAGAAGCCATCCAGAGGTGCCTAAGCTTGTAGGCTAAGTCTTTGTTTACCTGCAATTTGCGGTAGTTTAACTGAAATCTGTTTTAGTTAAACTAGTTGGGATGCTTTCTGGATACAGTTAAGCTCACAACTAGTAAATCTCAGTTTACGTTAACTCATAACAGACGGTGGTGTAGGCTGGGTGTGGTGTAGTTGAACCAAGCTAAATTAACATAAATCAGTCTTAGGCAGATTCCTGGGTAGGCAATAAAATAGATATACTCCGATAACCTGGGGACACACTTGTGTTGTGAGCCCTGGATTTATGTGCGGTCCTCCTCAGGTTGTTTGGGTTTTTCGAGAGAACTTATCTTTATGTTAAAATGCAGGTAGAATACAAGATGTATCCAGATTTAGTTAATATTTTAATTTTCATTCAAGCCCCTCTCTAGGCCATATGACAAATGTAGCATGTGTCTTTTGCCTACCTTGTCCTTGAAGTAAACCAACTTAAAGAGTGAAAATTTTTGGCTAAAGAAAAAAATACCAATTTAAACTGAGGAGAGCCAGTTGGATATTTTGTGAGTTTAAGCAAAAATCAGCAGAAATCATCAGGAGTCATTGGCAGAGCAAGCTACTTACAATCATAAAATACATCTGGAATTTCCTTTTCTCTCATCATTGTGCCTTTTTTCAGGTATGTTTTGGATTATGATTATCAATTCCTGAAATCCACTGTTTCTGTGTGCTACTTTTCCACTGCTTGTGCCTTATGTCTGGTGGAAGGGATTGGTCTTCTTTTGTGCATATTGTAGCATGAGCTTTTGACTTTTTGTCCAGGGCACCACACATTCAGGGACACTTAAGTGATTGCTGCCCATTTGTCTGCTTTTTATTTTTGCACCCAGTCAAATCAGTCTTGCATGTGTGCCCCAAATTAATTTCATGTAATTCATTTGTTCTTTTTCCTCATGAGCATTTTTTGTGATTTGAGAAAGTTTTTTTATTCTTTTGGCATATTTTGTCAGTTTGCATCCAAGTATTTTTGATATACCCTTGGATATATCAAAAGCATGATGAGTAAATATTTTGTTTTCCTCAGTCTGGAATGCTTGAGAATAGATTTCAGACTGCACGTCATGGTCACTTGCAGTTGATCCCTTTTAATAAGGGCCAGTATTGCAGAGAGAAGTTTCATAACTTTTCCTTTTTATTTTAGAGACATAAGGTGTTGCTGTTCTGTCACGGTCTACTGAGCAAACAGCCTTCTCTAAACTAAGGAAACAGTTCTTTACATTTCATTGGAAGTGGAAGTTCTCAAGAAATTGAAATTGTGGGTTGCCTTGCTCCCAGATGGACTGGCCTCTTTAGGACCATATATAACATTGCGAATCGATTAATTTCTTACAAACCTTTTCCTCCTTAGTGGTATTGGTGAAATTTCTCACTGTGGCTGAAAAAAAGAAATAAGTTAGCAGCTCAGCTTTCTTCAGATGTAAAATGTTTTTTTGTTGAAGTACAGTGCAATTAGGCTCCTGTTTCAAGGTTGGGTGTGGGGCAACGCGGTAGTTACCAGATCTTAGAAATGATTGGCATTATAAAGGGAAAAATGTTTTTGCTGCCACTGGAATTTTGGCAGCCCTTCCTGAGCTGTAGGGTATGTGGAGATTATAGCAAATAATGAAACTGCCTGATGAGAATATGAGGTTTTAGGACTCTGACAATCTTCTGAACATAATCGCATTTAATATCCTTCATCAAAGAATTAACAGTCACCTAAGGTTCACAAGATCTGAACCTCATGCGGTCTGGGATACCCATCAAAAACAGTCAGCAGATTTTTGCAGTTTTTCGAAGTTCCTGTTGGTGGCCAGGGAATGTTTTCCCATGGTGTATCTGTACATTTACTTTGGAGGCCGACTATCTTCCCAGGTGCACAGAGCTAACCCTGCCCTCTTTTGCAGGTCCTCTTTCAGCTCTGGGTAGGGCAGAGTTCAGAATTCTTCAGGAGGCTGGTGCTGCTCCTCTCCCCAGCCAATGCATCCCCCAAGGCCTTGGTCTCCCCTGAACGGCTGCCTCATCACATCCTGTCCGATGTGACTCAAGGCCTACCTCACACACACGCTGCCTGCTTGGAGGAGCTTAGGAGAAGCTACGAGTTTTATCGGTACTTTGAAACTCAGCACCAGTCGGGTTTGGAATGGCCACCCAGAACAAAGCAGAAGTCAAGGGAGCTGAACAGCCTTCAGACAGCAGTACGCAGCTTGCAGCTTCACCTCAAGGCGCTGCTCAATGAGTAAGTTTACACATGAATTAAGGGAATATGCAGGTAGGCAGAATGTTTTGAAGTTCTTTGGGTTGTAAGTTTCTATCCCAGATTTAGAGAAAAAAAAGGCAGATACATGCAAGTCTGCAATTATAGGTATATCTGTACACAGTATGGGCTATCTGATATTTTTTCCTGGTGATTCTTTAAGTATCTGGTGAAAATTTGAGGATAAGCAGTACACCAAGATCTTGCCTTACTTCTGTCACTCCCTTGAAAAAATCTGAAAACTTATCTCCTATTGATTTTGCAACATACTAAATGCTTTATAAGAATGTTATAATAACTACCTAATAAATATTTTTAAAGATTTGTCACTGCCTTGGTGAAACAGTTGAAACAATCTTACATATAAGAATTACTGTAATGAATGCAGGTGAGCAATGTATCTTGATGTAGAGAAAATTATTTTATTTTTAAAATTGTGGGGCATCTTTGAGGAATTGACTGAGTTAGAAACTTAAAATGTGAGGAGAATAACAGTATATTAAATTAAATACTTAGAGGAATGGTGAAGTCAAATATTTATTATTACTTATTGCTGTTCATCTCCTTATTACTTAGGGTAATAATTCTTGAGGATGAACTTGAAAAACTTGTTAGCACTAAGGAGACACCTGAGTTGACAACAGAAGCCCATCAGGTTCTTGAACAAAAACTAAAGTTTATTCAGCCTCATATCCAGGCAAGCAACAGCTGCTGGGAAGAAGCCATTTCTCAGGTGGAAAAAATGAGTGGAAGAAACACAAGTAAAAAAGGTAAATGTGAGAGATTAATTTAGCAACTAATGGGATACTCTTCAGAGATGGAATGGTAAAATGGATCAAAGACAGTGTTCAGTGTCAGAATTTTAGCTGAAGAAGGTCTTACACTTAGAAAGTCTGACTTATGTCAGACTTTTTCACTGTGATGGCCTTGAAGCTTTTGTTTCAGTAAAAAATGCGAACGTGTTAACTCTGTTAGACCTTTGGATTCAGATGGTTACATTTTCAGGTGTAGACCAATTGTGGCTTTTTGCCTTTGATTGGTGAATCACCCGTGAAGGGGTAGGACTTCGATGAATCATCCCTGAGATCTGTGGGCCTAGAGTCATGCAAGCTGACCTTGTTCATGCTTACACCAGAACTGGGAGCACTAGGAGGCCTCATGCAGGCTCTGTGCAGGTCCAGACATGGTATAACCAAATTCACGTGTACTTTACCTGACAGTCTAGTCTTACAGCTTTCCCCTCAGTGTTGCCTAAAACAGCCTATGAGGATATTAGATGTAGCCTGATACATTTGCGTGCGCTAGCCTGTTTTGTTTTGTTGATGCCCTCCACAACCTGCAGTTCCACTGGTTGCTTTTTTCCCTTTCCTTAAAAGTTCTTTCTAGACTGCACACCATAGTATTTTTAGTTATTTTAGTTTTATTTTTACTTTATGTAAAAACAGTAGGCATTTTTATTATAACTTGCTTCCTTTTGAAGTTCAGTACAAAAATAATCTAGTGTGTGATCTAGAAGGAAGGGATTGCGTGGAAAATAAAAAAATAAAATAAATCTTCACTTTTGCCCACTGGCTTTCCTGTAAATGCGTTGGGGTTGAATCTCTTATTTTGCAACAAGTTTACTAAACCACTCCACAGGAGCTACTTTAAATTATGTTGGTCATTGAAAACCATTTTCATCTGACTACGTTTGACTTTCCTGATACATTTCTTAAGCAGTCCAGCTTCTGTGAGTTGACCTTTTCAAGCTGTGCATGAAATGAAATCTAGTTCTTCTGCTGTCTTTCTACAAATCCTGACGGCTGGTCTGTCAGTCATGATTATGTAAATTATTTAATTAAATTATCTCATTTTTTCCCAATGCTTTCTGAAAGCTCTTTGGAAGAAGATACTTTCCCATTGAAATGATATAGAAGCTAAAACATCTTTTATGTTTGTACATTATTATCCAAAACCAAATTAATCTTTTGACAAGAGCTATTGCAAGAATCCCATGGGAGTAGAACATTGTGTCTGAGTGGATGCCCAGCACTTTTACTGCAATAGATGTTTGGTTCAGCTAACTAGCTCAACCAGTTGAGCATCTGTATAAAGAGATGAGTCTCCTTCAGCAAGTACTACATGCTTCTTGCCCTAAATCATTGTGTGTCAAAGCTGGTTTCTTACAGGTATGTTAAATAGTTCATCGTGTCAAACTGTCAAAGCAAAGCCTTGTAAGGGCAATGAATTGAACATTCATACACTCCTGTCCACCTTCTGTTGGTGGTGACAGGAATGGATATTAGAGCAAGTGGTTCCTTCAGTGAATGCAGTTGAGCTTCTTTTGTTACAGGACTTGGTGTAACTTGTGTTGTTAGTCACTGATCCTGTCAGGTACAGAACAGAGCCTGACAGCAAGTGGGGCTTCAGCACCTTGAGGGGAATTTACCTCTACTTAAATTCTTGGGCAATGACAGATTTATCTCTCATTGATCTACATATAGATATTTGCTCACTTCCTAGAGTTAATGCTAGACTTTCAGCTTCTTATCTTTATTCTTTCACCTTTTTTCATCACCGATAAAACTAGTTTACTACTTAAAGCCTCAACAATTTAAGCATATATATTAATCTGCTGCTAATTTTACAGAATAGAATACCCTTTATGACTAGTTACATCATTGTTTTAATGATCTTTGAATCAATATCTCTCAAACTGTTTAAACTCCACCCTTTTTCCTTTTAAACTGTCTCTATCTCTGCAAACATAAACAACTTTTTTAGACATTTATAACAGCAAGACCATAGTACTCTTCTGTAGTCTCCTGGATCTTGCTGTCATTTGATCCACTGGAGAGGAACTAAAGCAGCAGCAGTTTTAGTTAAACACTGTGAATTCATGATCTTGAAGCGTATCTTTAGCAATAGCATCATCCCATACAGGTGGCAAACAGAGCAGTCTGTACATGTATTAGAGCAACTGGTTTACTCCTCTGATTTGGGAAGGCAAGCTTTTAATTGGTAACTTCCATATACTCTTCCAAATTTGTCTTCATACCTTCAGGACCATATTTCTATTGTTGTTATAATTATTATTATTTAAATGTTCTTATTACAAGGCAGTTACACAATAGACAAGGGGACTTGATAATTGATAATTATAAAACAAATATCTCGTCAACTTTCTACTTGAAATTTCACTATATGCTTCACCTTTCTTTTAAACTTTGCACGTAAATATTTCTGGAATGTCAGATCTTTAGCTCAGCCCAGGCCACTAGAGAATTACATACTTTCCTTGTTTGCAAAAGCAGATAACCGAGCACCACCAAACTTGGCATTATTGTTGACTGCCTACTTTCAGAACACTATCCGTAAGTGTTCAATGTATAGATTAGAAATTGAAAATAGGGATAGATGGGCCCATTTCCCTTCTCAAGGATAAATTAGTGTTTGTGAGTAAATGTTGTTTACCTGTTCCTAAAAACCTCTCTTTAGAGACATTTTACAGTATTGCCAGGCATCTGTTCCAGCACTTAATTCCATTACCAGTAGAATGTTATAAGTGAATAGAAGTATCTCATGCTGCAATTTAAAAGCAGTACTTCTGATCTGCCCACAATGGAAATCCATTTCCTCTTTATAGCTCTTACATTCTTGAAGACGGTTAGTATGTTTTCTTTGTATCTTCTCTCTGTGACTCTCTATGCTTAAACTCTTCACTGACAACTATATTTAGTCCTCTGATCATTTCCACTGTTTTCCTCTATACTCCCTCTAGTTTGCCCACTGCATCATTGAATGAAGGAGCCCCAGACTGGGCGCTATGTTCCATCGACAGCCTGATCAGTGGCAGGGTAGAAATGTTATTTCATGTGTCTAACATCTGTGCTGTTGCTTATATGTACTAGTATGTAGTTTGGCTTTTTACTTGCAGCAGGCTTTAGGTGTCTGAGGCTTCTCACTGCTTTCTCAGTGCTGTTCCCCAGTCAGTTGTCATTTATTTGTGCACTTCGCTGTTCCAAAGCACAAAAATTTACAGTCACTGTCACCAAACTCCTGTATTTGAAATCCAATTCTGCCTGGGCTGTATCTTTGATTTTCCTTATAGATTATCTCTATATCAGCAGATTTAATGAACTGCAACAGTTTTCTTTCACCCATTGGAAATATTAAAGAGTACTGGACTTGACACAATTCCTCACTCAATGTATTCCAGTCTGAAAATGGTAACTACACTGTGATGATCCAAGAGACTGTTCTATGCACCTAATAGCAACTTTTCCTGGTCTGTGTATTTTGCTTATGAGAATGTCATGACTCCATGTCAAAAGCCCTACTGAAAACAAAATGCAGAATGTCTTTGGCGTCTTTCTATTCATTAGACCTGTCACTGCCCTGGAAAATTAACATCTTGATTATCAACAAACCTACACTGGCTGTCCCATTGTCTCCTTGCTTACCTCCCAGATAGCTTCCTGTAAATTTTTCTTAATTATTTCTTTCAGTATTTTCCAGTTATTTGAAGCTCTTTTACCTATAATTTTACTGGTTTACTTCTCTTTTTTAAACTTGGGAACCAAGTCTTTTCTCTGGTTCTACCAATTTTTCTTGCCACCTGCAGGTTTTCAAAGTCTATAAAAATGTTGAGATTTTTTAGTTGAAGTATTTCAACGTGAGTTCCACTGGATGCAGCTTATATCAAACCCACTAAGTTATGTAAGTGGTCTCTAACACAGTGTTTCAGTGTAATCTAACCAGCCTTCTGGTTTTTTTCACGTGTGCCAATCCTGCCTATGAAGATGCCTGGACCCTGCCTGACTAAGTCAAAAACCTCATTCAACACTCAAATATGATTTTTTTTTTTAAATCCCTTTTCTTTTTTCCCCTAAAGGCAAAATTGAAGTTTCCTGTGACAACCTGCAGCGTACTACAGTACCTTTAACACAACCTACCATATACATAGAAAACAAAGATCCAATCCCTGAAGAGCAGGTAAAAAAAAAAAGGATCATTTAAAATAATATTTGGGGATTGTTTGCTGTATCCATTTTTTTTTCAGTTGCTTCTGCAGTGACCTCCTTGTCTTGCTAAGAAAGATCAAGTAGGTAGCCAGTGCCATTTCAAAATTGGACTTGTAGAAAAAAATATCTATATTCCTTTTGATGTTCCATGGAGAGGTCCATGTTTCCTATCCTGGAAAAAAGAACACTAATATTCACTTCTCATATGTGTCATTAGAAATGAGTGACAAAAGGAGAGCAGCAACACAGGTCAGAGTAATAAAGAAAAAAGTGAGAATTGCTAAAAGGCAATATATATGAAATAGAGTCCTACTTACATATTGATGGATAAATTGACACAGCTGCAAAAGTGACAAGCTCCAGCACAAACCATCCTGCCTTCAGTTTACGTAGTCTCCGCATTTTTGGATACCTAAAGCAAACTGTGACACTGAACAATTTTGTGTTGTTTGAGGAGCTCATGGGTGATGGTTAGGCTGTCTTGAAGAGGGACAGGCCTCCTCCATCCCATAACTGAGTAGCAGATGGATTCTGAAAGCACACTGAACTGCCATGCTCTGCTCTGTCCCTCCCTTGCCTTCTCCCCTACATGCATCATGCATTCTCTCTATATTTTTTTCCATATCAAAGAGCTGGGACCAATTACTTTAACTATTTTTATTTGCCATCTGTTATAACATAAATGGTACTCTAGTTTTTTTATGCTTGTAAGCCAATATATTTAAAATTGGAGGAGGAGTTTGCTGTTCTCTATATCCTCTTAATAAGCATTTACATAAGTTAAATTAGCAAGATACCTGACTACCAAGAATTGGTTACGGTGTAAATTTAAAAAAAAAAAGAAACCCACATCAGCATTGCTTATTGCTTATTTCCACCTGTAATTATGGGGAAACGGACTCCCATTTTCAAGGTATGTCACTTGATCTTTCAAGGTATATCACTTGATCATACTTGTGTATGAAGGTAAATCTCATTAACTTTCAATGAGTGGACTTGCTCCAAAATCATACAGATACAACCAAGAGCAGTGTCAGATCCACTGGCTCTGCTCAAACAGGGCTCCATCCTATTGCTGTGGTTGGCTTGTGTTGAGATCGCTTGATCATGAGTCAGATTGTAGGATTGAGTCCACACTGACAGTGAATATCAAGGCTTTCTTTCTTTCTTTCTTTTTTTTTTAAGGAATTGGAAGCATATGTTGATTATTCAGATATAGATAATGAATACAAAAGAGAAGATTTTTACTGCTTTTCCCAGGAAGAGAGAGAGAGACAAGAACGAGAGAGACAGGAATCTAAAAGGGTGTTACAAGAATTGAAATCTGTACTTGGATTTAAAGCTTCAGAAATAGAAAGACAGAAATGGAAACAGCTGCTATTCAGTGAACATGGTAAGTATTGCTTTTTAAAATTAATTCCTTTCTATTTCTTTCTTAGAAAGTGTAGGTGTCTGTTTGCCATTAACTTCTGACTGTGTTAGGATTCAGACAGTGCTTAGCTATAGTAGTGTCTTTGATAGAGCTGTGTGGCCTTAGTTTACTATTCCATCTCTTTATATTACTTTTAGCAGTCATTTTACTATATATTGAAAAGAAGTCAGAGAAATGGGAATTTGGCTTTAAGCAAAACACTGAGCTAAAATATTGAACACATAAAAATACTAATACAGCATAAAGAGAACTGTCAGGCTATAAACCATGGAGACTGACTTTCTTTCATGGCTTTCCAGTAAATATTAATTTTAATCAGGGTGCATAAATAAATTACTTTTCAGAATTTAAAGAAACCATCAGAAATTATTTCAGACTTCCGGAAATATATAGGTTAAAGTGAAGATCTAGACTTTGAAATATTAAAGGCTCATAAAAGAGTAAGACTGGCTTTTGTTTCCATGAGAGAGTGCATATACAGAATATGTTTACCAAAAAAAAACCCCACAAACCATCTAAGAAGAATTCTTCCAAACTAGCCTTTACAAACTCTGAGGACTGCTGGGTAAGCTCCAGCCACTTGCACTTGAAGGCAGCAATATGAAAATTTCTCTTGCCCTTACAAGACAGTGTGTCTGTTACAGCAATGAGACTGGATACAACTTGATTCCTTTCACTGCTTGAGGTGTTTGTATCTTTAAAATTGGCAGTAGTTTGTCTTTTCCTTTTTCTCATTTTCATTTCTTCTTCTTACAGAAAGGTTAGGAAAAGCCCTCTAAAAAGTTTTATGTTCTGTGTTATGAAAAACAACCCTCAAGTCTGGCAACCTATCCAAGGATTCTGCCTTTGCCATTGTCTACCAGAAAAAAAAGACCATGGATTGCATCTTTCAGTAATTTAGTGGGAACAGACACTAACAGACCATACCTATTTATGAGACTGTCTCTTTTGACATCAAACCGTCAAAAAATATCTGTTTTCACAACTTTCTTCTTTATGTCCATTAAGCTACCACTATGGTAAAAGAGATCACATGGCTATTGGTACTAATTTCTCTTCTAGGTGAGTTAAAAAACCCTTAAGACATCAGATTGCACCAGTCTGCTCAAGAGTAGAATTTCTGTATTACTCCTCTGGTGTTAGATAAGACACTACACAACTTTTAACATAAATCTTTTTAAGTTTTCCTTTCCTCACTGTTGAAGAAAGAAGGAAGGAGTCCTACCTCCAGTTCAAGTCTTGACAGACTAGTGACTCCTGCAGAAAGAGTTCTTGTCAGGAGATGCACAGGAGTTGCACAGGATATTTCCTTACCGAAGTTAGCAGCTGATACCTGTCCGTATGAGCATATCCTCTGGCCATCTGTGGCCATGGCTGGACAGAGCCAGCTGACTCCTGTAGTCTGCAGCAACTGTTCACCAGAAGAAAGCCTTTGTGGCTCGTGTTGGTTCCTTTTCCTTTCAGTGTATAGATACTACATTGTTTTAGAACTAGAGATTAAATGGTGGGGAGGGAAGAAAGTGTGATTTTCTCCAGCTGCATTGATTTCTTCCATCCCGTACAAAACTGGAAAAGACGAGAGCAGTTCATGAAAGTAATTATTATTGTCTCCTTTTGGCACAGACTCTGTGTGTCTAATCTGACAGACTGATATGGACACCAGACATAACATCATCTACTGGTTTTTAAGGAACTTCTTCATTATTTCTTCAAAAGAAACAAAAGTCAGTTAAATATGGGATAATGGACCCTGCCATATTACTGTACATGAGTCATTCCTTAAAGAGACATTTTTACGATCTGTGCTTTTCACGTTTCTGGCTTGCTTTATCTTGAAGATTTAAACCCAGACAGGTTTGTATTCTTGTCTCCATTGGCCCAAGCCAATGGATGGCCATGATACCACTTTTCCATAGACCTCTTGAATCTCACTTTTACGGGACAATCATATTCCATAAATCCTGTGTTTTCCTAACTCATGATTATTGTGAAAAAGATCCTGAAATATTCAAAGGCTTTAGTCTGTTAGTCAAGGCACCCAGATAGCCATTCTGATTTATTTGTCCTAACCAAGACATCGGGGTTTTTGGTTTGTTGAAAGAGGGGCTGGTGAGGGTCTCCACAAAGAAGAGGTCAGCTCCAAAGAAGTTGATATGTCTAAGTAAAACAGCATGAAGTCAACTGGAGATGATAGGTTGGATTCCAAAAAAAAAAAACAACATCATCTTAGCAAAGCACTAGACTTAAGCAAGTTTTCCAAGGCCCAGCACCATGGTAATACTGCTTACAGTCTGGGCAGTAGGTAATTTATGGGAGTGTAGCTTAGCTAAGCTTATATTTTTGGTCCTTTGGCATCCTGTTGTGCCAGTAAAATGAAAGTGCTTTTGAAAAGGTGTACTAAGTTGTTAGTGGCTTTGTTTTCATTTGTCAAACATTGTAAAACAACTTTCTCTAAAGCAAAATCCTTTCTAGCCTTTCCCTAACCTCTCCCCTTCCCCTCCTCCCCCCCCCCCCCCCCCGAAAAATTCCTTCTGAAAGTGATTGTGTTGTATCCAGCTGTTGCCCCTTCTCATACCTTGTCCATACAATAGATCTTATACAGCTATTTCTCAGCTTTGGAAAGCCATACTCTCAGAACTGATGAGTTGCACCTTGCTTATTTAACTAATCAACTCTGCAAATTGACCAGCTACCAATCTCTATTGGTATCTATTTATTTTTTGAGAAATTTTGGCTTTCAAAGGATTGTTTGGAGGAAGTAGGCAACAAGTTTGCTCCCAAATGATAAGATTACTGTGCATATTCCTGCCTCTTCAAGCAAATGGGCAGAAGTAAGTAGCAGTATGTTTTTTACGAGATGGGGAAAGAACTACTCCGTTAATAACTAAGATGAGTCTGGTGCAGTGCTCCTTCAGTATAAAAGGCTTTCAAAAAAACAGTACAGTATAAATTCAAAGCCTCAGTTTTTCAGTGTGCTAATGAAAAGAATTATCAATATGACAACCATAATGATGTGCCTGCTTTCAGCTAGTAAAATTGTAAATATTGTAAAATAAAGTAAATATTACTGTAATAGGATGCAATTGAAAAATCCTACTACCGTAAATTTTGTTTCCCATGAAAAGTTCGTGTATTTCCCAGAGTTATTTTCGTCTCTGCTTACAGGGGTAAAATCAGAATGGAATTAGAAAGGGAAATGCAACTTGGGAATCTGCTGTTGCCGCTCTCATTTATGTTCGTGCTGCTGCTATAATGGAGCTACTGCAGTTTAGGGAATCCCTTACTTGGAAATGGACATTATATCATTTTCTTAAAACGAAAGACGTCTGTTCTTCAAGAAGTGATTGTACTGAGTTGTACTAACCCTTAACACTGGGAGGAGAGACTTCCTGGCAAGCATCCCGTTGCTGGCAATGGGACTCGCTGCTGCTACTAACTTCAAGAGAGGCTAAATTAAACCACACTTTATTTGAGGACATCTTACCTGATTGTATGAATACATGTTGCATTTGTATGTTGTGGCGTTGGAGATCGGGTATTGCCTATAAGGACGTTCTCGTGTACCAGCTGTCTTTAGTGGGTTAGGTAAACTGTTGCTTAAAAAGCGGACAGTAGTTATACTTGGGTTTTGCTTTAACATTGAGTGCATCATCTGTGTTCGATGTCAGCTTTAAACACGACCAATTCTGCGCTGTCTCTTCACATCACAGATTTTAAGGAATAGTTACAACAAGTAGCTATCACATTTCACTTCAGCTTTGTGATTAGAAAACACTTTTATTTTAAGTTTTGTCGTGGGTTTTGTTTCTGTTGTTTTAGTGGGTTCTGAAGCCATTTTAACCCTTATAATCTTACAACTTTGCAGACAGAAGTAAATTATTTATATATAGCAGCTTGCTTTTAGTTATCATTTAATTTTTTTTCCCCTTTTTAAGCTGCAGTGAAACCCTTGCCTTCTGTAGAACCACTGAAGCTACTAAATAATTTGGAATCACATATGAATTCAGATACAGAAAAGCAGGACTGCAGCCAAAGTGGTGATAAATCTGAAGAAAAAGACTCTAATCCACAAGTGACTGCTGCTGATAAAAGCAGGACAGAATATTTGTATGAAGATCCTGAGATGGAGAAAAACAAAAACAGTACTGCAGATGAAGATGTTTCTGCAGGGACTGAAGAAAGAATGTGTTATCAGAGTGAAGGGGAAGCTGAAGAACTCAAGCCGAGTAGTATGGACGGAGTAGAGGTTTCACAGCCTCCCTCTAAGGATGCATTACATTCAAAAATCAAGCATAGGCTGGCCCAGCTCCACATATCAACAGATTTAAACTTCACATCTGGTCTGGCTGCACAAGTTGCTGCCAGGTCTTTCACTTTTACTACAATGCAGGAAGAGACTTTTGGAGATGAGGGAGAGGAGGAGGAAGAGAAGACAAAGGAGCATGAAGACCTTGTGGAGGACTGTGAGAATGAAGATGGAGGCTCTGAAAGTGAAGGAAAAGTATAAGTCTGAGCTGAGCTTTGTTAAACCAACAGCAGGCAATTTGATGGAAAAAAAACTAAGGTGAGGTGTGAAGGTGAAAATACTGGATGGAAAAAATAGGAGACCTAAATATAATACATCTTGTTCCCTAAGTCTGATACACTGAATAGGACTTCTAAGTATATTGAAAATTTGCAGGTAAGAGAAGTTTAGGTTGCATCCAAGAAATAGATGGCTGTTCCATTTTTAAGGTCCTAGTGATGGAGGTTGGAATTGACCTTTGTGTTTTCTGTTTTATTTATTTATTATAATGTATTGTGGGGTTTTTATTTCTAAAATGAAGGAAAAACAATGTCTTGATTGACAACAGCCTCCGGTTTTTGCTTTCTGATTCTGTTGTCATGGTATCAATGTTTGTTCCAATAAAAAAAGCCAGGACATTTCTTTTAGAAGAACCTGAACTGTTCCCTGTGATCTTCCCCACCACTTTTGTTTCAATTCTTGTATCTGCCGTGTGTTGACTAAGCCACAGTAGACATTTGTGATTCTACAGCTAGTGATGTGGCACCCAAATAAAATGTAGAATTTTAAATAAAAACTTGAAAGAGCTAGTATTTGATATGTCCTGGGGTATGGGGCTGAAATAGTATAAAGTTAGTCATGCTTCATATTAAGGTTTATTTAGAATTTTATGAAGGGTTAATAAATGATTTCTAGAAATTGTAATTCATGTTAGAGAAATGTGTTGTAAGTATATGTTAGGGAAGGCTATAAGCACACCAGTAGAAAGCACTATAGACAGCTAGAAGCTATCTGTTGGATTGACAGTAGGTGAGAAGTAAACACCTGTGTATTAAACCAGCTATTAATTATTTGTTAACCTTTTGTAAATTGAACCTTAATATAATTGTTTGATTGGATATAATGATTGATTGTACATTTTTGTTTATGTCCTAATGTAATTTTCTTAGAAGAAAATTATCTGAGAGCTTAACAACATGCAGTACTTTGTTTAAACAGCATACTTGCTTTTCCCTAATGTTCTTTCACTTTTCCTTAGATCACAACTATAACCTGTGTGATTAAGAATCCTTGAGAGAACAACAATTGTGTATTTTCTAAGGTGTATCTTGTAACTTAGTTAACTGACACTGATGTCTGGATGTTTAGTATGAGATTATGTGGTTTGTTTTTTTCTCTGTGGTGATGTTACAAGGAGCAGGAAACTGCTCTTCTCACAGAGGAGCTGGTTAATGATTTCACTGCCCTCTCTTCCTTTTGCTCTCTGACACAAAATGAAGCTCGGATCCCATGTCTCTAATGACAAGAGCGCAGCTTCTTTGTGTGGAATACTCCGACCTGGATACACTGCATCAGTTACTTAGAGTATTTACTGGGGTTTGCAAGTTCTGTAGGGCAAAGGTTTTTTTAGATGCGGGTGGTGCAGAGCAATGTCTTTCCTAGGATGCTGGTGGGAAATGGGAAAAGCCAACAAAAGTCAGCAGATTAGGGTGGAACTCTTGATGATATGTCAGAAAACAAGTGCTTTCTTTCAATCTCCCTCTCTTCTATTAGTGATTTTGCATGAACACTGTGAAATATGTGGACTTCTTCACAGATGGTAGAGAGGTAAATACCAATTAATAGACAAGGGAGTATGTGACTTACGTGTTCTTTCACAATATAATGCCTGTCTTCTCCCTCACACACAGGTTTTGGGAAGAGAATGTCTTGCCATTTTTCTTTGACCAGTAACACTGTGTTCTGTGCCCTTAGTTTTGTGTAAGTGACTGGAAACTGAATGGTTGATGTCTTGGGGGTGTGGTAAAAGAAAAAATCAGATGCTTCTCAGAGTGTATTGAGAAGCTAAGCCTCCTCTTAGAGGTAGAGTATATTCTTCTGTAACCGGTAAAGATTAGGCTAAGATGATGAAACGCTTTTATTTTCTCTCTGGTAAGCAATTTTTTTTACCAAGTCTAGAACAGCTGCTTTGGATAAATTGTGTTTGAAGCATTGTCCATGCTTCTGCAAAAGTCTTCCTCATCCTTGACTTGAGATCCTTGAGTTCACAAAGTGCCCAGATTTTTTTTTGTTCCTAGCTAGTTGTTCTGACTCCCTAAATGTATGTTCCATTAATGCTTTTCCATAAACTCATTGCACCATCGTCTCATGATCTGATGTTGTGTATCCCAGAAAGGATACTCCTGAATTTTTCCAGTGGGATTCAAATCATAGTTTACAATGTGTATGGCTGTTTTACCAACCTGGAAAGATGATCAGATTTAGGATATGAATTATTACGGTGCTCACAATTTTGGATGAAGGCAGTAGTAGCCTGAGTGCTTTGCTTTGCTACTAAAATTGGTTTCAGATCTCACATTTATAAAAATTGCCATCTCTTTATTCCTTTGATGCAATCCTTAGCAAAAGTCCTGGAGAATCAACTTTGGTGGCCCACTTGGAACCTAGTTTTGTTATGTGTTGATCTTGGTGATGAAACTGAACTAAAAAAACCCATCCATCATGAGTTGTTCATTTTCATCCATCAGTTGTGTCAACGTAGGATTTCGTGGCCATGTTACAAAACAGCTCGTGAGTCCGCCCTTTTTAGGGATTACTTTTCACTGTTCTTATTGCAGTGATGCCATTTACAGTAGTTACCTCCAAACAGCTGTATCAGGACGGACTGCGCTGCTGGTGTGAGACTCGGGATTGCCCACATTTACATTATTGGCAAAGGTGGTGACGTGTGAAATTACAGCCTTGACATTAGACATGGGTATGATCAAATGATGACTTTTTGGAGGAAGTTCTGATCCTGCTTTGAACAAATTGATTTTCTACAAGCACTTTAACTGATTTCCGTGGTCTGTCTTAGTGCAGTCTTAGAAGCTACACATATGAACACGTGGGCTCACTTGCTTTCTCTGCCTCTCATCACATCCGTATATGACAGCCATCAGGTCATTTATTTTGATTTATTTAATATTCTCCCTGCAGAAAAATATGGCTAGCAGGGTACAGCACACAAAGCATGACTTCCCTTGACTTGATAACCAGGTTCCATCTACGTGTGTTATGCACTCTGTCATAATCCAGATTTTCTCATAATTATGTCATTTGCAAGGACTGGACCATACGTGCTGTATGTTCCTTCAAGAACCTGAGGGATTTCTTGGCAACCACAATTTGTTGCTGCATTTAAAATAATGTATATGATGAACACACTGAAGTGTGCATTAGCTCTAAAGAGTTGTGTTAATATATTGAGCATGTCGAGGTCTGAGTGCTGTTCTGTGTTCTTTGGCTTGTTACCGGAGATACAGATTTTTGTGAAAACAGAACATTTGCTTCTTAGGGCTTTGTAACTTTTTGAAACATGCTAATCAGGAAATCCATACTAAATAATGGGTTCTGCTGAGGGATATCAGCAGCCAAAATTCTTTATGAAGAGCAGAGCTAACAATAAATGCATTTTCCCTATTCCATTTCTAGTTAGCAGTTCTGTGAAGTTGTAAGTAGAAGCAAGTAATTATATAGGGTTAATTTCTTCTCCTTCTATCCTACTGGAAGACACTCCAAAGATAATATTTGCTTCTTAGATTGGATTGCAATATGACACTACATCTTTTATATCACTTCACTTTACAGCTAAAGATGTAGATAAAGGCTTAAATGGGGGCAAAGATGTGTAATAAGAAGATAATTTGTCCCTTTTGTTAAGTGTACGTCTTCACGACAGAAGTTGTAAAACAGTTGTGTCATGGAAGCAAATGTAGAGAGTGACAGATAATCAAGCATCTTTCAAATGGAGTTAAATGTGTCTGTGTCAACTACAGGCAAGATTCGCAAATGTAAATCCTCTGGTTTCGGTCGTGGCAGTGAGACAGTTTTACTCCCAACAGAGAATTGCTGGACATCACTGAATCTTGCACCTCATTTTCTAAGTGCAAGATGCAACCTGGTGGAGTAGCCAGGTTTCAGACTTTGTCCTGAGCACACCTGTCTGTGTGACTGACACAGTATTGGAAATTTTATGTGTACTGGAAGTGCAAAGTTTGCAACTGTCTCATTAATTTATTTTGTAATAAAAAACCTGTTAAATGGTGGACCGTGTGGAGTTGTTTGCCCACACTGAATTTTGTAATCTTGTAGTCTATGCCTTTTTTCTTTCTTTCCTCTTTTTTTTTTTTGACAGAAGTGAGGTCAAGTATACTAAACTGCCCTTGTTCTTTAAAGTATTTAGTGAAAGGCTGCTGTTTCTCTGCAAGTGACTTGTTCCCAAGGCTAATTACTCTTTAGAATTAACAGGGTTTCACACAGTCTCATCTAAAAAAACAGGCATTGTGTGAGAATAGCACTTGGTCAGTGTAAAGGGCCAGGCTGCTCTGGGATCTTGTCTGTGACAGGGACTAATAGCAGATGCTGAGAGAAGAGTATGAGAAAAGAGAAATTTTTAGTGATACTTACTCAGGATATTCCTCAACAATTTGTGGCTCAGGGACTTCTTGGGCCAGTGGTGGTGGTGGCTGGTCAACTTAACAGGTTCCAGTGGAATCCCTTTCCATAAATTTGTTCAACTTCATGTTTGGTCAATTATTCCTAGTCCCAGTGCCAGTATGCAGTCATCTTTATTACAGGCTTTACAAGTGAGATTTGTCAATAAAGTTTTTTGATTTTTCTTTTCTTCAACTGAGCAAGCCCACTTCCCTCAGTCTTTCCACAGAGGTCATGTTTTTCACCTTTTGTGTGCTTTCCTTAGAAATCTGTCCAGTTTTTGAAGTGTAATGACCAAAGTGTGGTGCAGTACTTCAGGCATAACCTCAACAGTGCTGAGTATGGAGTAATAATCACCTCCCATAAAACTGTGAACCATTCAAATATATTTGAGTCCATATAAAAAAAGAAAAATCTTTTCAGATCTTTTACCTCTACCCTAGCTATTAGAATGACAAATGAAAATATTTGGTCTAATGGAGGAGAAATATTTATTCACTGTCAGCAGGATTTGGCTGGACAATGTTTTTCTTTGCTAACAAAACAGAAAGTTGTTAAATAAAAATGATCTTGCAACAGCTGCCACCTGGTCTAACACAAATTAAGATGCCAAACAACACTTGTTTAAATTTCAGCTTGACTTTCCAGAGTTTTTTTGGTCTCTGATGAATAAGTATGCATTACAAAATATATTTTCACACAAGAAACATGGATATATGGATGTCAGAGACCAAACTGAAGACCTCTGTGGCTAATTTTTAAAATGCTTGGTAGTGTGCTTTATGCATTTTCTCATCATATTTAATTCCCTCCTGTATATGTTTTTTTTTTTGCCACCTTGGATTTTAAGTGCCCGAAAACCCACTTTGATTTATTTGACTTGGAAATTTGTGCAGTAATCAGATACTTGGTAATGGTACCATAACTGTGGTAATAAGGCATAGTCATAAGTAGGGGAGAAATCTACCTGCCATGAACTTTGCTTTGTAGATGGATAGAGCACTCTAATATGAAAGTGTTCTCGATATCCTGCCTCACCTTTCACGCTGCTGTCTCTCTAGTTATTGTCAGGTTATCAGAACACAACTTGGCTCAGCAAGGTGAACGCACTGTTAGCCCACATTACACTTTCTGAATTGAACACAGGATTCTGAAGAAGTGACTATAATGTAGTAGATGAGGAAAAAGTTTGTTTCTCTGTTACAAAGTGGCTTATTTTAAAAGGGTTGAATAGGACCAAAACTTGGATACTTTCATATGTTCAGCATGTTTTGACCCTTTGTACCTTCTCAGCTTTAAATCTTAAAGGCCTTACGGACAGTCTGCTTTAAGGGGGTGCAGTTCTATAGCAGTTTAAACCACTTCATGGCCGTGCAATCCCAGTCCCTCCTTTAGGGTGACTTTTGTGACCATTCAGTGATTCAGGACATGCACAGGACTGGAAGTGCATGAGTGTTTTAACTTGCAGCTGGCTCCCTGAATCCTAATGAGGATAGTGCCACTCATTATTTTCCTCACTCATTTTGACTCTTTTTTTGTTGTTGTTGTTCTTGAGGCCTAGGCTGCCCAAGACTGTTTCTCTGTTATTCTCCAGAGTCTCTAAGAACTGTTTATGATAGTGCCAGTAAAACTGAAATTATCGTGCATGGTTTTTTCTACTTACTGTTTTCACCCTTCTGGTCTCTCTGACACCTATGGTCCTCTCCCTTTACTACCGCTCTTAAGACATTCAAATTTTAAAATAATACACAAATTCTTTTTTATTTGTGTTTGTAACATTAACGACTAGATCTAGAATTGTGTACTGACTTTGTCACTTGACTGGAGAACTGAAACAGAAGGTGGACACCATCATGGGGAGTATACAGTCAAAACAGAAATAATAACAGATCGCAGCTCAAATTTATACCACACTTTTGGTGTAAATTGGCTTCTATAAGTAATTCTGACTTACTGAAAAACATCAGTTGCATTTTAAAAATAACTGAAATTCTAGTACAAGGTCCCAAAATAAGTGTCATTAGTTGGCTAAATTTGTGCTCAAATCTTCACATTTAAAGACTGCTTCCTGACCTTCTCCAGCTGCATGGATGAGAACTGAAAATAATCTCAGATTTCTAAAGAGAGTGACCAATCCTTTCCGTTACTTTGTGCTATTAAAAAGAGGTCCATTCCTAAACAAACAAAAAGAGAAAAGTCAGTGCTTAATATGTTCAGTAGTCATTGCTGACAGAGAATCATGCATTTGATCTCAGTAGAAGCACCATAAATGTGGGCTGTTTATAATGTTTGATATCTGTGTTTCAGTAATAATAATAATAGTAGGCTTTCAATGTATTATGGGATAAAAGCCAGAAACCTGCAAATTGTCCTCCAGATCTTTCATCCAAAGGCACAGCTGGTCAAATTTAAACAAGTTCATGCTGGCTGTTCCTGCGCTGCTCAGTATGACACGGTGCTCAAAGTTTTTAAAGTCCTAACGTGACTATTCACAGACAGTCTGCTTGCACCTGTGTGCCTGAGGTCTGCAAAGCTTGTAGAGATCACAGGCCAGTGCTGAGGGAAACCTATACAGGAACAGGATGCCTCATAAGCATTTTATGTTTATTGTCTCTGTCTTCCTTCATTGCAGCCTCCATGCCATATGCAATCCCACTCTTAAACTTTTTCCTTCCCACCTTTCCTCTTCATAGGCCACACAAACCAGTTGGGGAGGGTTTTTTGGTTTGCTTCTCACCTAAGAGACTATCCTGTAATGCACCAGGTAAGTTATCTCCAATAAGAAACTTAGTGGTCACACTGCAATGGGTGGGGCCTGGGCACAAGGCTGGAGAAGCTCCTCTGGTTTGATCACTTCTGGGAAGGGTTCTACTCAGGTGATTGACTGTGGAGGTGCTGAGCTAGACTTGATGACTCTGCAGGTATCTTTCAAAGATCCAGTTTTTGCGAGGTCCGTTCTTTCCTCTGATGTCTTTCTCTCTCCCCCCTCTTAGCTGCCTTCAGCTCTTCTCCAGCATTCCTTTGTCAGCTGTTGAGGAATTTGGCCACTTTTTCCCTTCAGTTCTGAACACTTTGTCTAAACTTTATGAAATGACAGGCTAGAGGAAATCCACACCAAGGTGCTGCTGCACATTCCCAGTCATAAGCTCATAAACAGAAGTGTTCTTAGGGCTGTTACAATGTTTGTCCTGACATTCCTTCTAGGGAGGTTTGATCTACATTTCAGCCCGACTTCCTGTTTCTTCCTGGGCTTCAGAACATTCACTTCCAGGAATTTTCCTCCTTAATGATTATAAGATGGTAATGTCACCTCAGCAAGACTGATCCTTGAACAGGTGTTCCTCATTACATGAGCCTTACTTGTTCTTTCCAGTGGGAGGGTGGCACAGTCATAGCTGCGTCTGCCTTCCACCAAACAAGCTTGTTTCTTTCTGCAGTAGGGGCTGAAAACGTGCTTTCCAGCTGCTATGCCAGTGTGCTCTGGCTCCACAGCTGCCTAGTCTTGAGTTCAGGAAGCTCTGGGATATAGCAGTTGTGCTTAAACCTTTCCCACTGACAAAGAGCATGTATTTTCATACTACAATTATTACTAAATCTCCCCTGAATTGAACTATTTTGAATTTTCATTAAGCAGCATTAACGGATTGTTTCTTAATTTGAGGGATTTGTGTGAGCTTTATAAATATATATATACACACACACGCACTTCATATTGTACTGTGTATTTCCAGGTATCCCACTGCAAGGCTTGTCAAGCAAAGAGGTTGTATTTTTCTCATATCAAACTATCCAGTTACTTATCAGAAGGTAAACAAAAACTTAATTCTTGCTATTTAATGGCAAAAGAGTTGAATTGTGTTCTACCAAGCAGGCTCTGTGGAGGTATTTAAAACACATGCTAATTTTACACCTTTAATTAGAAAAGCTATTTTACTTTGTTTTCACTTATCAAGGCTTTGCACCTGAGCTGCTGCGAGTGCCTGTGTGCCCATCTACCCTGTCTTAAACATGTAAACAAATACATGTTCCTCAACATTTCCTGCCTGCTAAGTCTTAGCATTTCCCAAAACAGGACCTAAAGGCAGCATGGATTGCCAAGGAACCACAGGGAGGGGAAAGAAAATAATCTTGATAAGCTGCTGTTTAATTGGTTAATAAATGAGAGCTAAAATATAAGACAAAATGTTTAAAAGAACAAACTGCAGCAAGAAACTTCTGGCAGGGCTACAGAGGAAAATCACATGATACACTCTGAAGTTTGCAGACACTGGGAATGATCCACAATTTCTTGTCCATGTGAAGTGGAGACAGGAAACACTCATCAGACTGGTAGTCTTCAGCAGCTTTTTCAAAAAAGCCTCTATTTTATCTCCATTTTATTTCCAGAGAAAGACTTGGTGCTGCTGTGGTGGTGTATCAAGCTATATGTAATCAATCTCTGTATCTCTTCCTTTAAGTTCTGTGTGACATCAGTCTCTTTCCTTCAACTGTACTGAAAACCCATGTGGTTTGGCTCCACTGGGAATCTCTTCTGCACCCACCCTTCCAGTTGCTGATGCTGCTTTAAACAGTTGATTAGATCGGTCTCAAGGAGGTGTAGGTCAGCAGGTCCTTAAAGCAGTTATGAAGCCTGGGGCCTGGTCTCATAACTCAGGTTCTGGCTTGGATGTGGGCAGAAGCAGGAAGACATTCCTGGATTCTGTCCTGTCTTTGTGAAAGGGTTTCCTGCCAATGATACTCTCCCAAACCCTTTTGTTTCTCTTTTTTGTACTTTTCCACTTTACCTCTCTCCTTTTTCCCATGGATATGATTCAGGACCTAAAGTCTTTTTTGCATATTTGATTGTGTGCATCACCAGGATTATTTTTAAGCCATTTTTTTAAATTTGTGCCTGGGTTTTCCCAGTTTCAGACGTAGTTTTCTCAATTGTAATGCTAACCACCTTCAAAGTCTTTTTGGTTGCTATTATTTCTCTGGCATCTGTAATAAAATTCTGTCTCACTACTGCCTGTATCATTTTTTCTCCTTATCCTGTATCCCTGACAGTTGCCTAGGTGGCGTGGATGTGGCTTATCCATCCTTCAATTAGTAATGATTGAATGGAATAGGGAATGCTTTTAAAGGGATGCACAAATGCTGTATGAGCACTTTTTTTGATCTTTTATACAGAAGTTTATTTATAATTTCACTTTCATCCTGAAGATGAAATTAATTTTAAGCAATCCTGGCAATAGTTTCTGCATTATATTTTGCTGATTCCTCAGTACAAGCACTTTAGTAATGAACACTAGTTACTCTTGTCTAAACAAGCGATGACTGAAGAATGTTTTTCTGTGTGTCACATGCTTCCAGCTACAGCTTCCCATCATCCTTCAGAGACCTGTGTGCTGTGGCAACTATTAGCAAAACCCCTTTAAGCATCACCTAAATGGCTTGGTAGGTGGGCTTTTAGGAAGAGAATACTGTGTCAGGTAGATCTTTAAGAAGCTCTGCAGGAGATGTATTTATTCTACTTGTCTAGCTGTATGACTTGTAAGAGACAAGCTTTCTTTGTATGTTTTGAAAGTGCCAAAATAGCAGCAACAGAACAGACTGGCTTCTTTTATCCGAAGCTTTGTGGCTCCCTTATACTGCTTAGACTTTATCATTAAAACAAAGGCTGTGTTCTGCTGCTGTTAGGAGCTGTGGCTGATGCACACCTCTTCCTGTAAACATTCCCTCATTTGGTTTTAAGGTTAACATCTCTTGACCGCTCTTCCCACTTAGGTATGACTCACTCTCACCTAATTCAGGGAAGGGAAGCTTAAGTATTACTGGGGAAGAAGGAAAATAATTTGATTGTGAAAGGCAAGGGGAAAGTTGATGAGGCAGGAGTATTTATTCTTACCGATTGAGTCTTGCTGCCTAATTGGTACATAATCTGTTCTGCAAAAGGTTTTGCTTATTCTTTGCTGTTTCCTGGTTTTCGTGTTTGTTTGCATACTGAATACTGAACAGGTTCAATTGCTGCTGTTAGAAGGAGAAGTCTGTCTACCAAAAGGGATCCGTAATGTTTTCCTTTACTTGGAGATTTTTTGAATTCTAAATTACCTGTGTGTATACTTCATAATGTACCATATGCAAATATTCTTCAGGAATTGATACTACCACTTCAGACAGTCAGTATTTTCTATGTAAGAACTGTACGTTTCCTATACTGCCAAGAATGTATATATATCTATGAAGACTTAAGATTGTATCTTTTTGAGCAAGCCTCTTTCTTCAACCATCTGAAATTTTCTTCCTGTTTCTCAAGTTCTCTGCTATTTATTAGACACTTGTGTTATATTGTGTACTTTTTTGTATCAGTTGTATTGCTGTATTTCTCCTTTCTGTCATTAAAACCTGTTCTTCTCATCCTTCTGCTGTGCTGCTTCATATTGGAAATACTCACACTGTATCAAGTAACCTGCTCTAGTGTACTGGGTTGGGTTGAGATGGAGCCAGACCCGTCCTAAAAAGCTGGTCATTCAGACTTCTATTATATTGTTCCACTGATCCCAACATGTAATCAGTTTTACTGTATTAAGCTTCCCTAGGGTTATTTTGCAGCATTGTACATACTCTTACAAGATGGTGAAGAAGAAACCCAGAATGGGACACCCATGGTATAAACAAATGGACAAGACACAAAAAAATGTACCAAGAGATGAAGTCCATAAGTCTTATGAGTGGTTCTGCTGACATACACTAAGAAACCAGTGGTCTTTCTGAGTGAAGCAAGTTTTGAGGAGGAATTTGGAAGAGGAATCCAAGGGCAATTTTTTTCCTAGAAATGTGGTTTCAGTTTCAGTCAGTTATCTGTGCTGTCTCCATGCTTAACTCGTCTGCCAGATAAAGAAGAGGGGAAAAAGAAATGCAGGGTAGGACCTATTTGCTTACTTCCATTAGAGAAACAGCTGATTTACAAACAAGAAAATGCTGTCTCCCAAGAAATCACTCCATGAACAAATAGAGAAATTATAGTGGGTTTTTTATCCTCCCAGTGAAAAGCAAGATTTTTTCAATGTTTCGCTGATGCTGATCCCTTTTAGCAGTGCAGAATCTTGTTTGACCTACAGCTGAGCTCTCAATGGTATCTGTTCCACAGCATGGTATGCAGGAGGAAAGAGTTCAAAGGTCCATTACAGTAGACCCAAGGTATTGACATAAAGTGAACAGAACATGCGCATATGTGATGGATATCTGACAGTTTTTGAGGCTGGGAGATCAGCCAGCGAGATTGGAAAGTACCAGAAGCATCTGCTCTTGGAGACTTAAGGATGAAATTAATCACATCTTTAGCACCATCTTTATAATTAGGGTAGAGTATATGGAAATAGCTATGTCACCTAGCCTTGGCTTTCTCTCAGACTCTTCATCTCCCTCTCCTTCATTAAATCTGTTTCTGTGCCCCAGTTGCACCTGCTTCTCTGCATGAAAGAATCCCATAGAATGTCCCAATCCATTTAAGGATTTCTTGTCATGGTGTTGTGATAGCAAGTAGCAGAAACACACGTTAGAACAACCATGCTGGCTCTGACCACACCTGGCGTGGGTTATGTATAAGTTTAGATTAGGCAAATGCCCATCTGTGCAGCTGCATACATTTGCTTCTAAAGTTGCATTTAGGAATGATGCCATAGTGGGAAATAATTAAGGAAATTTGTAGTGTAGAGAAGAACTAGCACAGGGAATTCCACAGACCAGTGCAGCCTTTTCTGTCACTCACAGAAGCATTTGCAAAAACACCCAGGCTGAAGCTAATCTGTCCAGACTCCAATCAAGAAAGATTTCCACTGACTTGGAGGGAAAGCATGGCAGGCCAGTAATTGACATTTTTGGAAATGGTACTGTTAATTAACAACCGTATTTAATCCCTGACTTCTCTACCACTCCAGTATCCAGTAACTGTTTTGTGTACACATGTGAAGTGACAAGACAAATGGACTCAACTGCAAAATGTGCTGTTGTTCAATATAAATGAAATACATTGTTTTGTTAAGCTTAAAAGAAATGAGAGACTTTCCACGACCTGTCAAAGCTAGCTAAGAGCAGCTCAGTAGAAGACTGCACAGTTCATTTTTTACTATAACCTGTGTTCTTTGCTGTCACTGCTGTCAGCTGCTTCTCAGTGATTAATATTAGTTTAATAGATCTATCATCACCCTGATCATCATCATCATGTCCTGCAAGATGTGTTGGTTAAATCAGTAGTGGAATGCAGTAACCTTTGCATTCATGCCAGGCACTCTGAAGTTTCGGTTTGATTACTGGCTTGCATCACCATTAAATTAAAAATAATTACATGGTTCCCAAAAGCTATGTAAGAAATAAATTGCAAAAGTTGCAATTATTTCCTCTTTCTGCCTGTCTTTGTTTCTGCTTTGAAAACTTCTACAAGAGAGCAAACTGTTGCAGCACACGCTTTAGCTCCTGGGAATGCTCCCTCCATGAGCTGTACACTCAGTATGAAGCTGTGAAGTATTTGACCATATTTCCCCAGGTTATGTTTCTAAAGCTTCCCTGCAACTATTAATGAAATGAAGAAGCTGGAAGACACCTGGCTAAAGTAATTTGTCCTTTAATTGCAATTACATTTTTATGGATAGTGCCAAAATGTAAATATAACAGCCTATAAAACAAGTAAGTCTTAGTCAGACGTGCACAAAAGAAAAAGGGGATGAGCTCAGGACCTTTACCTGTTTTTTTGTGTCCTTCATGTCAGTAACTACCGGAAAGATTCTGTAGCTCAGCAGTTGTGGTTAGACAGTCGGGAATTGTTGAATGGGACAGGAAGGAATAAACAACATGGAGAACTTGTAAACATGCCAAAAAGGTCCAAATACTTTGATATTGAGACTGCTGTACTTGCTGCTCTGAGTCACAGTGCTTGATATTTAAGAAACTAAAAGAAGCCGAAGGTCTCAGAATGAAATTATTAAAAAAGTAAAATACCTGAACTTCAAATCACTTGGAAGACAGTACCTCGTGATAATCACTCCTTGTCTTAGCTATTTATTTTTGAAGGTCTTTAGTAGGCTTGCTGTACCCATTGAAAATATAGTTGGCAAAGAGTAGCTTTCCTTGAATGTACTTCTGCCAAAAAAGAGGAAAAAAAAAGCTGAATTGACAAAAGCAACCTCTTATTCTAAATTAAGATGATAGGTTGAAAAACAAACAAAGTAAGTTGTTAGGTAGCCTGACTTACAGCTTTATTATGGCTTTCAGCTTTCACCTTTCCTGACTTTGTTGTATTTTATTTAAGAATTAAATAACGAAACTCAGGTTTTTCTAGTCCCTCCAAGATTTCCAAACAGCATACTGGGACGTATAAAGCAACATTTTGCATGCTGCTTCTTGGACTACCAAAACCCACCACCATCCATCTTGGTAATGCTTCAGTTTAGGTATGTCATAATATGTCGTATTTGAAGATGAACAGAGACAAGTACATTAGGCATAGGAAAAAACAGCTGTTTGTTTGGGTTTTCTCTTCTGCATATGTTAACTAAATATCTTTTGATTTTTTTGTTTGTGTTTTTACTAAGAGGGAGGATATCCTGCTTCTAAACTTTTATAAGTAGCAATGAACTTTGCTGTTTAAATACCATATCTCTTAGGAAGCATTTCTGGAGAAGAAATGTGACCAAGGTTATTTGATAAGTGATTATAAACCTATAGGAAATAACTATGCCCAATGTTCAAAGCCGTAAATTTCAAAATGTGGGTAAAATCTGAAACTTTAGCAATTTTCTCTCCCTGGAAAAGTAAACCACCAAACTAAAGCTAATTCAGAGCTGTTCAGAAAGATCTAGAAACAATTTCCAACTGTTATGTCCACAGTTTTTTGAACTTGATTTTGATTCTGAAGTGTATTTCATGATATTTCAATCATTTGCATGTTTCCCAAAGCTGTTATTTGTAGATTACTATCTTATCATAACACCCTCAACAAAGTGGATAAGTTAAAAGCCAAATTCTGTTTTGTGCTAGAACTTAGAACTCTTAAACAAGTTACATTAATGATGCATTTTGCAATAAGATCTCAACAAATGAAAGAAGGCAACCTTCTGGATTTTTAGAGTGCTTCCATTGAATTTGGACCAGTTTGTTGGGTTGGCTTTGGTTTTAAAGTCCCGAGACTCAAAATTACCAGAAGAAGTTCAAGAAAACATAAATACTTTTTCAACATTGTGCTGTTTTAAAAGTAAACCATCGGGAGAAATGAGTCCAACTCAAGAGAGATTACAAATCAGTTACAATTTACTAAAAAGATTACGATAAATACAATGATACAGAGAAGAAACTGGTTTTAACCCCCATAAACAGCCCCCAGGGACAAGTACAGAACAGTGTTTGTTGGCTCCTGTGCTGAGCACCACTTGACCCCCCTGGGTGCAAAGTAAAAGGAAAGGAAACCTGTTGGTCCAGATGATGGTGCCAGTTCTGTTGAGGTAACGATCGCAGTCTTGTCGAGAGTGGCAGTGGCAGTCCTGTTGGAGTTCTGGTCCTCTGGATCCAATGAGTGGTACCAGAAGTTCCAAACCCCCAAGATTATGTATGCTCAGGTTCAGGTGGGAATGTCCAGTACCTCCCCCAGGGTGGGGAGTTTCACAGTGGGTGATTTAACTCTGTTAGTCATGGGATATTTTTGGAGTCTTTGAATTTTGGAGTCTAAGTGTTGCAGGTGCGTATTATGCCAGTCCAGTATGGCCCATTACCAGAGGTGACTCCTCAGGCTGGGTGTGAAGGTGTTAATGCCTTTCTGGAGGGGAGTTATCACAGCTGAGTCATTAATGTGAAGACAAAGAAACATTCCCCTGCCTCTCAGGGTTCTTTAACACCCAGCTTGTAGCCTGAGGTATCAGGTGTGCCCTCTGCAGCTGCTGCAAATGATCCATTATTAACAGTCCGTCACAAATGACATAGAGGGTGTACACAGTTTGGGTTATACCCACATAGTGATAAACTGGTCCCAGCCCCTGTAACTAGGACTATTCCGCACAGATATAACATAGGGAGGATGTCCAATTTAGCTGGCTGAAATACTAGATACAAGCAGAATGAAGGTGAGAGCATCAGCCTTTCCTCAGTCAGCGATGTAGTTGGGCCAGATTCTCACTGACTTGAAGGCCTATGTAATTGTTTTGGCAGTGTAACGGAATCTTCGTTTCAGTGAAAATTGGCTGAATTGAATTTAAAACTGTAAGAATCATTTAAGCTGATATACTATCCAAAGTTGCTTATGTTGTGGGATGTTCCTGGTGTTACACAATTGGAAACATCTGGCTTATTTCAGGGAAGCTCTCAGCATGAAGGACTGCATGAATACTTCAGGGTAATGCATATTCAAGTAACAATGGATCTATTCACTTAG